CATTCATTGCAACATCTGCAATCAGAGGGCGCCAAAACAGGAAGCTGCGCGCTGAAATGCTGGGCCCTCTCCTCCCAGAAAGCAGACGCTCCTCCCTCCCTGTCTTCAAGACGCACTGCCTTCCACAACCTGCACATGCAGACGCAAAGCTAACATAAGGAGAAGGATTACCATATTACCACAACCCACCACACCTAGAATCTTGGCCTCTTACTCACTTGCTCACACAATTGGGCCTCTACGTTAAGATCTATGGGCCCAGCCTACACCTTTGTGCACGCTCTACCGCACATTCATAAAGACTGCAATTCCATACACCTGACACTCTACCACGTGCATCAGCTGCCAGCCGTTCAGCAAACGCAGTCAAACAAAATACTGGGAGCCAGAGGGGGGAAATCCAGCAGCTTTTAGGAATTAAACAAATCAGTACACTGCGCTTCAAGTATAATGCACAAACGCAGCGGCACAGAGACACATAAAGAGAAACACACAGCCCTGTGATGGTCCTCCGGTGGGATGAATCAGAGTTTTGGAGCAAGTTCCCAGTGCACTGTGGTACCAGCAGCAGCGTGACACTGGGGACACTGAGGGAACGGTGTCAATACTCAACCCCACCGCTGCTGAATAACACATCTAAGCACATTCATTCATCCAGCAGACACTTTGTCATTATTCTTGGCCTCCAAACAGCCCCACAAATCACATGTCAGAAGGGCAGAAAACCTGAGAAAAATGCTGAGAGAAGAGAGAGAAGGGCAGAAAGGAGAAGAAGAGCTGGTTTTCAGGCCCTCTGTAAGACAGCCAGTTACACCCTTTTAAATAAGCATTTTGTGCTAACATAAATTGCAAGCAGACTGTTTGGAAGAATACTGTAGTTGAATGGGAAGGATTCCATTGGAATAAAAGCAAAACCAAGGCAAGCTTCAGTTGACTTAAGAGTCGATCACGCAACTGGTTTAGTACCATGGTGGGCAGGTATTTGAGACAGCTGTAAGTATATTAAAATAATAAATAATAAACAATATATATTACAGAGCAGAAGGTTGGGATACCCGCCCATCGCAGTGTACATGCACAATACACCCTCATTTAGATTTGCCAGTTAGCCTAAGTGTTTTTCTTTGACAACACGAGGATAACCTGCAAAAAGGAGGCGGGAATCGAATTACCATGCTGCCCTTCAAATAATAATAAGATTCAATAAAGCACTACTTCACAAAGAGCTTCACTACAAATGTGTACATCAGTAGATAGAGCACATTACTGTAGGTACTTAACACAGTTCAAACAGGAAGCAAGAGCAATTGTTCAGACACTGCTTTACAAAGTTTTTTTTCTGAAGAAATGGCAAATATTTAACTGAGTTATGATTTAGTCTACATGATGTTATCCACGTTATCCACTTACATTTTTAGAAAGCTTGCACTCATTGCTGTATAAGCAACTCACCATAAAAAGAAAAGACACATCTACCAATTATTCAAAGTTATCTCCAACACACAGGGTTAGAATAACATGAAACTAAACATGACCCAATATTCTTCACAGTTGTGATAAAAAGTAAACAAAGTTATAGGGGCAGAACAGGAAACACAAAAGCATTAGACTCAACAAATACAACACATACAATCAATTCAAAAAGGCTAACACAATCCTGAGATATAACTAAAACAATGGTGGATTGTTTAAGAGAAGACATTCTACATGTATGATGCCATAATAATATATGGAATATCTAAATACAGGGGGTGTTCCACAAAGCAGGATTTCTTGCTTAGCTGGACAACTTCTCAGAATTAAGGTAGTCAGGGCTTAATGTAAGTGAACGATGATGAAGAGCATTTAGCCCACTCTACCTTAAATCCAACAAGTTATCCAGCTCCTGTTTCGTGGAACACCCCCCAGGTCACGGTTCTGAAACATTACTTTTCTGTTTTTAATATAAAGTACTCTACTCGGTGAAAAATGGAGAAGAGGAAGGACCTCAAACTCAAGCATGCACAACCACATCTCACACAAACAATGAGGCCTACAGCATAATATTCACCATAACCATGCACAAGGCAGGGGCTGATCCTTCAAGACATGTAATCTCTGAATGTCAAGGAGATCAAATCAACATCTGCTCCTCTGTTTCATTACAACAGGTACTTTCTTGATTGGTTCCCTGGGAACACAACGAATTATTGCTCATGAAGGAAATGGCAATTAAGCTTCCTTCCATATTGCCGTGCAACGCGTAGCTCAGCTCACAATTTGAACACAATGGCGTTACTGTCATTGACATAACCTTTTGCCATATATTATACATCCTCCACCACCTTCTACTGAAATACCTATCTGGCCCACTCTGTAATGTGCAGGACAACTGAGATGTCAGGCAGGGTATTAAGGCTGGAATAAAGGGAGATTCCAACTACTATTTGATTGTTGTTATTTACCTAGAGCATAGTGTTCTCCTAATGCAAATGACTACATAATAATTACATTAATGAATATAAAGAAATGTGTTTTACTAAAATGAACATTCATCCCATCTCATTGCTACAGCATTTAGTAATGTTACTGAAGCAGTCAACAAAATAGGCCTACAGTGCTCACAGAGCATCTTGGGATGCCTGCTTAATTCTGTAAACATTTTGCCAATTTATTGGTTTCATGACAAGTCAATTGACATGCAACATTCAAGACATCTGCACTTCTCTTCCACACAGACATTTTCTTTTTAATAAGTGTTATAATTTTTTGACTGAGTTCTTTTTACTTTAGTTCTGTTCATGCCATTTTGCTATTAATTGCATTTGTAGTCACTGGCTCCTAAATGGATACTAAACACAAATGTTTGGTGTTTAATGCTACTGCAGGTGTTACTAATTAAATATAAAACCAATACATTTGCAATATCTTCACTGAATTAAGCAAGTGTCCCAAGACTTTCTGTGAACAGTGTATGTTTGGTGTAAAAAATATAGACTTTCTTCTGATGTAAAATATTTACAGAGAAAAGCTAAAGAGAAATTTAATTGTTTTACAGTGCAAAACTGTTCATTTTCATAGTACTATACAGTTATACATCCAAAAATGTACAGAAGAAATGATGGAGACATGGATGGGTGTACTACACCCCAGGATGGGAAAAAGTCACTCCATGACGAGTCCAATTCAAGTCTCAAATCAAACAGTGCAAGTCTGAGTGAAGTCTCAAGTCATGTGCCCTTAAGTCCCAATTGAGTCCAAGTCTTTCCATCATTTTTGCTGTTGAGTAACAAGTCATGAAATTTGTGTCCAAGTCCAAGTCGAGTTGTTAGTTATATAATTTGATTTCCTACCTATGTCCGTTTTTTTTACCTTTAGTGATTAAAACTATTTGCAGCAAAAACCTTCCACAGTACATTGTATGTTAAGTCCTTTTTTGGAGAGACAGTCTCCACTCCATCACGGTTGTCCTCACAGTTTTTACGTTTGTGTACAGTATATGCAGGGAGTGATGCATCTTTCCAATAAACTATCCCAGGATATCTTGAATTCAGCCAAATGAAACTGAAGACAGCAGAGAATTAATATACACCAAAATTATAAAATTATCATTATGGTATTCAGGTCAGGCTATAACCTCAAGACGTCTCGAGTCATAGGGTCCAAGTCTGGTCCAAGTCTCGAGTGATTTGCCCTCAAGTCCAAGTCGAGTCCAAGTCTTTCCTTCAGATTTGCCGAATCAAGTCATGAGTCATCAAATTTGTGACTTAAGTCCAAGGGCGTAACTTTGGCTGGAACATTGGGGGGGTTGAGGTCTCCACCCATGATTATTGGGGAGGTTGTATTAGCTGGCCGGTTTTGATTTATTGGGGGGGCTACAACCCCCCCCCCCCCCCTTAATTTATGCACATGCTTGAGTCCAAGTCAAGTTGCGAGTCAGTAACTAAAGCCCCGACTTCTGACTACACCCACTATTACACAGAAGCTGTATAACTGTGGGATGTGAAAATAACTTGTAATAATCGAAATCAAATTTATTACAGGATTGGATGTTGCATTAGTTTACAATTAATGGCCTGGATAGAATGCTTCCCGTTGCCTTATGGTACCGATCAGGCGCTGTGTTTCTCACCCATGCTGCAATTCATCCTTTACAGTGTGTCTCCTTTATCTCGGTATTTCACAAAGAAATGAAAGAATCTGCCAGCCGAATGATTGAGCGTGCTTCGTGCGGAGTGTATCGAGCAATGTGCGTACCAGCACATACTGATTTTACGAGGTTTTCCATACGCTACTTTACATCAGTTTTGCATTTGCGTTGCTTGGCTAAAAATGCATACGGTAGCAACCGAAAGCACCGTAGTATGGGACAAAATCACGCATTTCTGTTGTCCAAAAAAGGTAAGATTATTGTCCCGGTCACCCCACAGCCGCTAGAGATCAGAGTAAACTGAAATGTATTGCTGTTGTAACCAATTATATGTTGAGGATTCTCTTTTATCGCTTCTAATATCAAGTATTCACTTATTGTTATTGTACATCCATTTGGCAATGGATACACGACTATTCGAATGAAGTATACTTGCAAGCAGTTTAAGAGCACAGAATAATGTTCTGGACCTAATTTAACTTTATGATTTTCAAGTCCAGTGACAAATTTATAAGCACTATGTCGTATATTTATTATTAACAGTCGAGCTGCGGGCGTGTTATCAAGAATGTTTGTAAACTATGTGCAAAATATTCGCAAAAGGACATATACTTCGCATCACAAAATGGTATTCATTTGGCAGCATTCGTGGATGAGAAGCACCACATTTAACAATTTTCAGATGAGATCGGGACTTTTGGGATTTTTGCTTATTTGCGTGTGAAACAGTACTGTAAATGGTAATAAATAAGCTGCTATATTTAAAAAATAATTACCGAAAACCCAAATAAACTGAATCGCGTTTATTGCTCCAGTATAACAAAGGTACACACCCAACCAGAGTCCTAAGAAAGACAACAAAAGCTCGTACCTTTATGATGCTGCTTCTACGGGGAGCCGCCTTCGCCGCCTCCATAAGAGCCGTGTCGGCGTCCTGAGCGACGGGGCTGGCGCGCTCCGCCATCGGCAGGGTGACTCCGCTGCGCCTGCCCGCCCTGGTCGCTCTCCCGGGGGGGAATTCAGGAACTCCTTCCCCGCACAACTCGTCACCGTAGCACTCTCGCTCCGACATCGTATGCAGAGCTATTAAAAACTATGTATATCTTTCTTTTAGCGGATTGCTTTAATGAGACATTCACCATTAGTTTGCGGTAGCTTCATTTTTAGTTTCCATCAGTAATAAGTAAAGCTAGGAACAATTTCACATTTCAGTTACAGGTATCTCTGAATATGTCGGTCTACGCCTGTAGTAGTAGATATTCCATTTTAAGTCTTTCGTTAGTCACTATAAACCCTTCAACTGCAAAAAGTCAGATATTCGCACTTATTGTTGCTGTTTCCAACTTAAAGATCTTCTTAAAACCAAATAACATTGTGATATTTATATAGATTTCAGTTATATTTTAAATAATACTTAAATCCTAAATATTACAACACTGATGCGATTTGAGCGCAAAAAATCATTCCCTTAATTTTTCCAGAGTCAGCTGTGAACACCGCGGTCTTAACGGAAAACGGCACTAACAGAAACTTTTAATTACTATTAGGCTTGTCCGGTTTGTACCAAAACAAATCACTTTACTTATCTATGCGTAAGTCACCAGATAAATAACACCTTTTTAAAGGTACAAATGCCTTCTCAGAAAAGTTTTTTTTTCCTTTGCTCTGCTCCAAATTTCGCCAATATTTCCCAGGGCGAGTTGCCTGCTCTTTAAAAACGCGCACCGCAGACGGAGCCGCGTTTGACAAGAATGAGGAACACATTGACAGCAGCGCCTCCTCCTGATTCTCCTACTAAAACCCCTCTTCTGCACACGCCTACAATGATGACTGACGTTACAAAAGACCAATCGACAGGAGAACCTATTCTCCAAAACATATAACCGACAAACCAAATTCAAAGAGGGCGGAGCCACAATGCTCTTACTCCGAGGTGTTCTGCGTTTAGTAGCTGCCCAGATGTTCATGAAGGCGAGAGAGATCGGCTACTAAAATAATTGAGACTTTTCAGTTTAAGCACAGTCTGACAAAAGAGCTTATGAGCTTAGACAGCTTATGTCTGGATAAACAGTTTATTTAGAAATGCATTGAACGTTCTTAGAACATTGGGACAAAGTCCTCCCTTTTTGAGTTATTTGAAAGAGAGCTCTTAGCAACAGTAAAAATGTGTTCTGTGTTTACTCTGATGGGAGAATGTTTCAAGTAAGGACATCCAAAATGTTTTGAAATACCAATATTGCAGTTTAGTCGAAACAAAATAACCGATTTCCACTGAACAATACAAAACGGGTTTACGTCTCACTGAAAAAAGGTGTTTAACTGATATACAAATCTTGGCGTATTGTGTTATATATTTATTGTGTTCCCGAACGGTTCAGAGCAGCGTTCAACCTTATTACAACTGCGAGGGTGTCCTGGTGCATTTCTGTGCATTCTGTGGAACGTAGCTAGTTTTAATGGCTTCGCACAAGTTCTTTAAAATGTAAAGTAGGATGAGGTGAGTAAGAACAGAGGAAGGTATTCTGCACAGGCATTGTTCCAGATAGTTTATCTACGAATTTATAACTGGCGGTGTATCCGTCAGGACAAAGGACCAGTTGTTTTATAACACTGTAGACTGCTGGCAAAGGTGCGACGTACTTCCTATATCTTTTTGAATACAATTCAAAACGGCTTTCAAGATGAAATACAACTGATGCGATGTAAAACATTTGGGTTTATACAAATGCTGCAACATCATTATAACATTTGCTTTAACACGTTTAGAATGGCCCCGTTTTCACTGGGTCTGTATAGTATGAAGTGAGTGTAAATTGTTTTCCCAGCTCATTTCTTTAAAATATTTCTAAAGGTGATGTTGCACGTTCGTTACTGAATGTAGACAGGCTCTGTGAATCATTTGCACTGGCGTCCTATATCTTTCACCTAGCTGCGGCAGTTGACTTTACCACGGAAAAACAAGGAGTTCCCCGGAATAAAAACAGCTCATTTTGCTTGCAGCCTAAGGTGTCTAATTTGAGGTGCTTTAGGTTGGGAGATTATGCAGTGTTTAAAGTGAAAAAGTGAAATCTACCTTATTGAATGCTCAAAAATGCACCTTGCAAATACAGACAACTGCAATAAAAAAAATCCCCATATATTCACTAATTAGTGTTTGTTTAGGGAAATATAAAGCACTTAGAAATAGAGTATTCAACTAATTAGTGGAATGTTCATTTCTCAGGAAATGGAGTAGGCCTACATATTCTGGTATTGTATAAAATCCTGTTGTTGGTCATTTTAATTTACTATGACACACATGACTATCTGCATCATTTGTATTTAAAGTCAAACTTTCCCCCATACAATGTGTCTATTTCTGGTCTAGAAACCACTGAAAGAATGAGGTGAGCCAGTGTTTAAGATGCACAATTAAAGTGCTTCCCATTCACATGTTGTTTATTATTAATCATTATATAGACTACAAACTGTATACTGTGATGCTGGTGTTGGTGTTATCCTGTGAAGTGAGCTTTGTACTATCATAGTCAGGTGGGAGAAAGAGAACGTCATGTATTTTGTAGAGTCAGTGCCATGTTTAAAGTTTGTGCAGAGCCGACTGGTAAGCATACAGTATAAATTGTTCTGCTGCCTTTCTCCGTGACCCTCGAAAAGTCTCAGTGCTGTGCCAGTGTACATCTGGTCCTGAAAACATACTTTTACTAACACGCACACACACATCACTTGCCCCCTTACACTAAGTTTTTGTTACTAAACAAACAACACAAAACAAATTTAGATAATTTGATATCCATTTACAACAGACATTAAATTGATGATGAGTCTTCATGTTTTTCTTTTACAGTCTCATTTAAATCTGGATAAAATTATATACTTGTAAGAAACAAATGATTAGCTGCATCCCCATATATTATGTGTTTTTATATAACATTCAATGTCACTAAGTTATTTTTTTATCTGTGTATCCATTTTCCATACTGCTTATCCAGTACAGGGCTACATTACATCTGATGCATGGGGCACAAGGCAGAGGACGCTGAAGAAGATGCCAGTCAATCACAGGACACACTCACACTTAAAGGCAGTTTGAGAAAAACTGAGAAAAAAAACTGAAAAGTGTTTCTGGACTGCAGGACGATAACCACACAAGTATAGGAAGAACCAACAAACTCACACTCAAAGAACTGAGGGCAGGAAATGAATCCACAAAACGCCATAGGCTGTCAAAGGAATCATTTAACATCAGTGACAGGTTTGAAATCCAAAATGTATGCTTCACATATAAAACGGAAATATTGACAGGAGAACAATTACAGTGATTTTATAGTACCCACCTACATAATCTGTATTAAGTAAATAAATACAGGGATGTTACTACATGTTGGTAGTTATGGGATTTGGCTTGCTTCTGTCACTTGCCAATGTATCTGTAATCCTGTTGGATTAGGTAGCATCCATTCACAGTCAAATGCAAACCAGCGATGATAAAACACTGCTGGTCCACAACTAACAAAACAATCCTACAGAAAAGTGATTAGGATAACTGGAGTTTAAGCTTGGTGATGCCATAAATACCAAATCTTATATATGTTTCCTTAAAAGATGTAGCTACTTGAGTTCCCTGCATTTGGGTAGCAAATTATGAAAGAAAATAGGTGAAGAATGTGAATACTCAGGGATCTTATGTATGAATAAAGGCATGCTAACAACAGTCAGGCAGCAAGAGACATGATGTTGTCCAGAACCAAAATGAAGAAAATGTTGGGGAAACAGTGACACAAATCCAGTGTATGAAATATATGACAGAAGAGGGAGAGAGGAGAAGAGCGAGTGAGGGAGACAGAGAAGGGTCAGTTCAGCGTTAGCTGACACCGTTCTGGAATGTAAGCTGTGATTTTGAAAGCCAAGAGAGAGAGTTCCTCTCTCCTTCTATATATCTCCTGCTTCCAGAACCATGGACCTTTACCTACTCCTCTCTTCTGATTAAAACCCATTTAAGAATTTTCCAGAACAACACACCACTCTTCATTCCTGCCTTTCTCATCCTCGTCTTCCCAATGGTGATTCAGGTAAGTGGAAATCAGTGGCACAATGAATAAATGACACACTGTTGTGAAACAGCATGACACAGCATGGTTCAGCAAAGCAGTGCACCTCTTCCCCTTTGCATTACGGTTCCCTGTATGTAATTGTGTGTTCCCAAAAATTAACGTGCTCCCTATTGTTAAAAATGAAGATAAAAATGGCTATCAAGCATGAACAACCATAACACAATACAAATAAAAATCACAGAGTAATAACCAACTACTCCACATGAAAATACTGTACAAAGACATTTTAGCTGCACCATTGACTTGTTGCATTGTTAAAATGGTCTCTTAAATAATACAGCATTCAGTGTTCTGGAATTTGTAATTTAGAGTTCGGATGGAATTAAAGCACAAAAAGGAACAAGATCTAGTTTACTCCGGACATCTCTGAAAAACCATGGTCGCTATTTCCTACCTGATGTGAATGTTGGTATCGGATACATTTGGCACAAGTTTCACTAGTGTTAATATGGTTACGTTTGCTTTTTTGTTCAGTGCTGAGATTCCAAAAACTACTGTTGAGTGATGTTTTTAACAAACTGAAAATTTCTGAAATTGCAGAACGTGTATAATGTGTATTAAATATAATTGATACGTAAAGTAACTTGGTTGAACATGTTTTGTCTGAGCCTCCACTGAAGTACATAACAAGACAACCTTCCTGTTCCTGTCTCTCTGCAACAGATGCGATAGGAAGCAGGCGAATGCAAGACAGCAACAGGTGCGGTACGCATTGACACCTCCCTGTGCCAGCACAAGGTCTTAAAGTGCCCTCAGCCTACAAACACATTCGGTGTGCGTCGGAGTGACACCATTAAGTATACGTTCAGCAGCGTATTGCATAGAAAGAACTAAAAATCACCATAGTTTAACTGTATACAGATTCAGTCATGGCAGTCAAACTCAAAATGTAATACCAAAAAAAAAATTTAAAAATGCGATAACATTAAGTGCAGTTGTGTGTAATTGTCACACTGCAATTCCCCCTTCCTACAAGTCAATGCTTCATCGAAGAGTATTACAGCGGCTACATTATTAACCAATTTAAACCTAAATCCGAGTGGTTCTACTATTATTTGGCGTCTCACCATTTAACACTTAACAGGTTAATGGTAGCAACAAAATTTAACAATCAGTGAACTTGCTAAAGGTTGTACCAATTCTGTGACGGGTCTCCCAGACAGAGAAGACGGACGTTTAATTTAACTTTTTATCAACAACGTCGACGACAGAAACCGGACGCTACCCGTTTATTCTCCCCACACCAATAAATCAGAAACGTGAACATCGTATATATGTGCATGCAGGTAAGTGTGTGTGCGTGTGTTGGGGGAGGTGAAGTGTATTTGTCACATTGTAGGGATCAAATGTCATCTCAATGTGATAAACCCTAACCCTGTCACTTTTCGGTTTCCCACAAATCGAAACCTTATAAAAATCCGATAATGCAATCAAAAACCTTAAATAGCGAAAAGTCTTGTATTTTCTGTGTTTACTTATGATTAAGGTTACGGCTGGGTAAGGGTTATGATTATCATAGGTAGTATTAAGGTTATCCCTGTAGAAATGAATGGAGCGTCCTCGCAATGACAGGAATATATGACCTGTGTGTGTGTGTGTGTGTGGTACAGTATATTTACTTCGCTGCCTAAGCATTCACAGGGTTGCCAACTCACGCATCTGGCGTAGCAATACCTCTTTCAGACTCTCAATCTCAAGCAAAAAAATCTTACGGCTAATCTATATTGTTACACTATAAGCCTAAAATTAGCTACACCAAAAGCGATGGGGTAGTATGCAAACCCCACAGACGATTTACAAAGTAATAAAACTAGTACATACATATAAATGCGTGTGCAGACTTGTCTTGAATTAAAAACCTCACTCCAGCCAGCTGACCAAAGTTGACAACCCTGCTGATTCACCTAAATAAAAACTGAACACGTTTGCGTGCCTAAAAATGGCGTTTCCCGCCAAATGCGTGCTGTCGGCAGTCAGACTGCAGCGGACACGACGTCGTCCAGAACCAAAAGGAAGAAAATGTGGGGGAACAGTGACATACAGATTCATATTGATTATGAGCCCTGTACGTTTTAGCAATTAAACAAAAATGCTAATTAAAATGTGAACAGGCGTTATAATAATAGAACATATTTAAACAGTAATAGCTGGCGGCGTCGTAGTTCTCGTCGCTAAGTTGGTCGTCGCCCTCCGGTAGCGCAGCGTGGTTACGCGACTCCGTCTCTTTCTCCGCCAGGGAGGGCTGTAGCTGGCGGCTAGAGCGGTGAGAGCGACCCAGCGGGGCTCGATAATCCTATCAGAATCCCACAGTTTTATTTCAGTAATAAATACTCTGCATTTGTTTTTCTTTTTGCTTTTTGCCAAAGACTGAAACGCAATCAAGCAAATGCCAATGATGGAAAACGAAACAACAGTAAGTAGCCGGCAGGCCGGTACCCAGCCGGGGTGCCTTACAAGCACCTCGGGAAACATCATCTTTTGCCAGTTTGTGTATCTGTTCCTTAGTATTACATGTCTTTGTATTTCGTTTTATTTTTTACTGTCTTACATGTACGCACTCAAAAGCAAATGACATGAACCTTCCATTTCGCTGGCCGTATGTTACCGTGAAATTGGCTAGTTTTGGTACGTGTTGATTTAGGCTAGCTGAAATTTTATGTTAGAATACCTAACTTTCCACTAAAATAGTACTAGTTATAGCAGAATGATAACTAGGATAATCGGTCACACTTCAGTTAGTAGGTAGTTAAAAGTAGATTAGATTATATTCCGTTGTCGGATCCTGCTGGAAATGAGTCCCATTCTAATTATGTGTCGAATGGGACACGTCTTTTATACAAGGCTACATAATATAGTAAATACAATGATTTTACGTAAAAATGGGTTTCTGGTGAGATTCAGCGTTTGTCAATGTACGTACTGATTACGACTAACCGCGACGATGCCTTGATAAAGTTTCTTTTAACATTTTTACTTTGAGAAATGGAGCTAGCTCCCTGTCGCTGGAGAAAATGGTGGGGAGCTGTATGCTTCTTTCATTGTAACTTACCACTGCTAGGCATTAACAGTTGTGTCGTGACAGAATGCGAGTGCAATTATATATTATATGGTAAGTGGTATACCTATCACATGTTATATATTAAAGGCCAAGGGAAATGTTTTTACTTTTTATGCGCAGCCGTTATACATACAAGAAGCAAAGCATCTACGTTCAATCTACAAAGAAGAGGAAAATGAGGGAAGACTATTCACTACATGTAACTTACAAACTGAAGGACAAACAGGCACTAAAAGTGAATATGATACGTCCAGACAGGTATCAAAGTATATTATTTTGGCCCTCTACCCAAACCAATCCGATTATGTTGATTTTAGGCCCCTGACGGGCCCTTGGAATCGTCCTAACCCCCCCACCCACACACACACACATTATGGCACCCCTGTGTCCAGGGGCGGCCGACTGACAGAACCAAGTATACAAGCGACCAAAATCACAGTCCATAATGATAGGGATGAAATAGGAATGCAAGTTATGTAGTGTCCACGCAAAATTTTATGGGCGAAATTTTCTTATTGGTCGGGCCTTAGTATATATAGGTAAACATATATATAGTATTAATAATATTATGTCTGTCAAGGTGTGTTAGCCATTTCAAAACCTCTCTCAGATTCACCCCAGTATTTGCAGCAACCATTCTATATATCCATGTATTTATTGAATTAACCACTAGCACAGTTATTATGCCTGATCAATATCTCATTGATTTTTAACTAATTAAATTAATTACTTAACAAATACATGGAATGGCTGAGGTACTCCTGAGGAGAGGATTGGAAACTGAAGCAGTGTTCTTTTAGCCATTCAGAAAGATATCAGTAATTTTGTGGAGAACAAACAAAATTCTTGTTGGTTTTTATTGTGTTGTTCTTAATTAAAGGTATATTGTTCTTAAATGTGTTCTAATGTTAGGGGTTTATTTTCTGAACAAATATATACTTTCTGCCCAGATAAATATCTTTAAACATTTGCTTTGACTGCCTAAGGCTTTTGCACAGTACTTTGTATTTATGCACTGTGTAAACAAAGAGATTGGTGACGTTTTTGTTTTACAGTTCAACAGGGTGTGCAACACTACCCAAGCTAGTAAGTGTATGGGAGACTGACAGGTTTGAAAATTAAATGTATGTAAACAGCCAGTATCTGGTTTTTAGAAGGTTTACCCAGCTGGGTTTATATTTATACATGTACTTAAACTACTTTACAAAGGTCTACCCATACTTTTTCATCCTCTGGTCGAAAATGGTTTTAGAGTTGAGGTAATGAATGGTCTGTCGCTAAAAGGATTTCTCTGCATTACTCTGCTGCTATTTATTATGCATTTTATTAAATAATAATAGCTTGAATTATAATTAAGTGTATGTGGAACTGAACTTGGCTGTGTGCCCTCATTTCATTCAGCTGAAAATATAGTTATAAATATTAAAGATGAGCTTCACCTGCAGACATTATAAATAGAGCCCTCGCGATTACTCGATTAAACCCAATTCCTTTATTTTAAAAAGGCGTTGATTCACATTTGACTTTTTGGATTACTCGAAAATATGGCAGAAGGAATATAGCATAGTAGTTGAGGTCCGAATAAAGAGCGAAAGCCTCCGTTGTGTGGCAGCTCTTCACATTAAAAGTGAAAGAAAATGCAGACTTTCAGAAGACTTTCAGATAGGGTTGTCACTATCAATTATATCAATAGTTGAATAATTTGCTGATTAATCTCACGTTTCATCAAGTAATTGTTCATGTGTAATATATACATTGAAATTGACACAAGGCAGGAACCAACCAGCGATTGCAGGGTGCCATGAGTTGTGTCAACAGAAACAAAACAGTGCAGACAAATCACTTGCTTTTTCTCAGTATCTTCTCTATCTGAATCCAAAGTTATTTCCATACAGCAAAAATGAATGTCTTTTGGTGACCAGTTATTTTTCGCTTTTCTCCTTCTCATTCATTTAGTTAAATTTCTCACAAATGTGCCACACTGCCTATGAGTGAGTCAAATAGGTAGGACGAGAATGATTATGATGGGCTTAGAGAACACATGTAGAGCTCATGCAAAAGGAGCAGCAAATTTTAGACTTTTTAAAAACATATACTGAACAATGTTGCAATGGAACAATCATTAAAATTGCAAAGCTTGCTAAGTTTTGTTTCCTATGACAAAGAAAAATATTTTAGCATTTACTGGTCTCCTAACCAGCTGACTGTTGTGGTCCTTGTAATGTGAAAATTGCATGTACGTAACACGCAATATCGATATCATCATCAGACATCATGCAGGTGTAGTGTCGAGGATGGCACGGTGGTTCATTGGGTAGCGCTGTCCCCGTACAATGCCACTTTATGTGTGCTGAGTTTGCATGTTCTCTCCATGTGTGCGTGGGTTTTACACTGGATCGTCCAGTTTCCTTCAACAGACCAAAAAAATGCTACTTAAGTGAAATTGGAGTGCCTAAATTCACCGTATGTGTGAGTGAGTGAGCACCCCGTCCAGGATTGGTCCTTGTCTCTCACTAATTGCAATATTTAATGTATAAATATTATATTAGACAATGAAACACCTGGTTGTAGACCACAATAATTCATTAGTATGGTGTTCGGCCTTCTTTTGTGGCCAATACAGCATTATTTTGTCTTAGGAATGACAGATTCAAGTCGTACACAGTGGCCAGAGGGATTTTGAGTCATTCCTGTTGCAGAACAGCAGCAAATGTTTCCTGACTCGCTCTTCCAAAACACAGCAAAATGGCTCGATAATATCCAGATCTGGTAACTGTGCAGGTTATGGGAGATATTCAGCTTCACTTTCACGTTCATCAAACCACTCTATCGCCAGTCTTGCTGTGTGTATTGGTGCATTATCTTCCTGATACATGGCACCACCTTCAGGGTACGATGTTTGAACCATTTGGTGAACGTGTTCTTCCAGAATGATTTGGTAGTCCTTGGCAGTAACATGCCTATCTATAACAAATAGTGGGCCTAGGGAATGCCATGATATTGCAGCCCAAACCGTCACTGATCCACCCCGTGTTGCACTCTGGTTATGCAGCAGTAAGTGGTAAGCCTCTTTGGGGCTTCTCCACATCGTAACTCTCCCAGATTTGGGACAGATAGTGAAGGTAGACTCATCCGATACAATATATGTTTTATATTGTCCACAGCCCAAGATTTGCACTGCTAGCACCATTTAAACAGTGTTTTGGCACTAGCATGAGTGATCAAAGGTTTGACTATAGCAGCCTGACCATGAATATTGATGCTGTGGAACTCCCAATAAACAGTTTTGGTGTAAACAGGAGGGTCAAGGTGCACAGTTAATTTTGCAACATGTTTGGCAGCTGTGGTTTTATGTTATTTGTATCCAGTCCAGGTTAGTACCTGGACGTCCTTTTCAGACGGCTTCCTTTTTCATCCACAGTTACTTTTGTTGCAAGTGGTCTGTCCTTCATGGTGGTATACCGATATTACTTTGGATACTATGGCTTAGCCAGCGAGATGCACACCAACAATTTGTATCCTCACCTGAACTCTGATATGTCTCCCACTATGTTGTTTGGATTGCAGTATTTTATGTAGAGCTGTGCCATTGCTCTGCTAATTCAGCCTTTGCACTCTGCTGTTGTTAATGGTATATCCAGTCGGTGAAGAATTGCCACCAGGCCATGCATATATAGGCATGAAACCTCAAACAGTGTTGACCCGATGTTTCCGTTTCATTGTCCAGCCCCTGTATATATTATACGTAAACGATTATTAATTGGCAAATAAATCAGTAGATTACTTGATTATTAATATGATAGTAATTGTAATTGAATACTGATTGTAATGTTACAGTAGTTGTAGTGTAGTGCTTGTGTACTATATAGAATTATTTGTAATTTGTTGTGTCTCATCACTCCTTGTTCTCTTCACAGCTCAGCTGCAACCAGACTCAAACCAGCACCCCTTCGCCTGGTCCTGTGTCCCCATGTCCCAGTGCCCCACCCCATCATGCCCCCCGCTATGGCACTGTCATCCCCAATCGAATTTTTGTGGGAGGAATAGATTTCAAGGTGAGTAATTCTCCCTAATGTCTTTCCCTGCATACATTTCACTGAAAGCTGCTTTAAGCTTAGGTGATGCCAGTGACTCACACTGGAAAGATCTCATTTAATGGTAAATCTCCTCCATGTTGACAGAAGCCTACTGACATTCAGACCAGGGGACATTCTATACTGAAAGCATTGTCGTGTTTGTATGTGTCTCTAGACAAACGAGAATGATCTGCGACGATTCTTCTCCCAGCATGGTTCAGTGAAGGAGGTGAAAATTGTTATTGACCGTGCTGGGATTTCCAAAGGGTAAGACAGCAGTATGTCAAATGAGAAGACTTTTAAATTCCTGAAATGTCTTTGAGTATCCAAAATTCAGATTCATTTTGCAATTTTACAAGCTGTACACTTGTTGAAACACACAGTTGTAAATCCTATGATATAGTCAGTATAAATTCTACAAGTGTGACCCATTGGCCTTAGAGCAGTGTAAGCACCAGATATGCCATTTTTACACAAAGTTTCTCAAAGTATTTTTAAATAACATCATCCATATAGCTTGATTTTGAGTAACGTACTAAAATGCATAGTTCTCATTTTTTCTAACCTAACAGGTATGGGTTTGTGACGTTCGAGACACAGGAAGATGCTGAGAAGATACTTCATGATGTGAGTATCAGCCAAGTTGCCATGTTAAATACTTGTAACATACTGTTTAAGCCATTTGAGATTTTGTCAGTACAGACGCTCCTCTACTTATGAACTTTCAACTTACGAACTTTCAGACATACGAACGAAGAGCACTGTAAGTCGAAATTGTGTTCATTGGGCTCCCGTTTCCTGTCTGCAACATTGTTTTTTTTCTGCACGCCAATCCGCCTAGTATGACTTCTGGCCGCTACTCCCGCATACTCCTATAATACAAACTGGCTTACAAGGACAAGGTCAGCAACTTAGCCCAAGTCTGACTCATTTTGCAGGGAAAAACTCTCCTCCAGACACACAGGTGTGAGTGCTAGGGCAGAGACTATTGCATATGTGTGAGAGCAGCATTTGCAGCTTCACTGAAAAATTGAACAGGAGTATGTAACAAGACACAGCACAATTTATTATAGTATACTGGCCTAACTTAGCAGGCAGGTTCAGCTAGTCACTACCTTCACTGTCTGACTGTGCTTCATGATGCTTGTTTGTTACTGGCAACAACTCCATATACAAAATACCAGCCCAGCACTAACTGTAGGTCTGTGCGTCCAGGAGCTTTGTGTGTGGGCTGAAGGGGGTTTTTGTGTCTTCCCTAGGCTGACAGGCTTTGCTTCAGGGACAAGAGGCTCAACATTGGCCAGGCCATTCGCAAGCAGCAAGTGGGAGTACATAGTAAGCTCTCTCAGTATCATCAGTGCATCTTACATTAAACTTATTCCTAAAGGGACTCTTTTATTTTCCATTTGACAAATAGGTGAAATGATTCTGTCTGTTTCCTGTTTTTGTTAAAATAAGTAAAATTGGTTGGAAAATTATTCAGAGTATTATATAGGGCTTGAATTTGCTGTTTACTTAGTCTCTTTCTGAAAGTCCTGCCTGTGCGTCTGTATGCTATTTATAGCTATATTTAGTTTCTGTCAGTCTGTAATCACAATAGTTAAGTAACGTAGAGGAGTAAACAAATCCTGAGATTATGTTATAGTCTCATAGGCTTGTTCTAGGCATCTGTCCTCCAGGGATCACAAACAAATAATATTGCTTCTAAGTTTGGTCTAAATCTGCTTCAGTCATGTGATGTGTTATACTGTTCAAATCCTGTAACTATGATGTGGAAGAAACAAACTCCATGCGGTGGAGATATTCTTAGTACTTACTATCTATAGCCGATGAGGATACACAGCCCTGTTGCATTGGATAGTGTAATACTAGATAAAAAGCCACATTTTATACTGTATTTATGTTGGCAGAAGTTTTGGATAGAGGTGTGTATTTCATACATATATACATAGAGAGTGTATAAGAATAACTGATTATACAAAAAGTACAGAAGAATCCGATGCTTTCTATTGACAGGAAACTGTTATAATATAACTCAGGGTTCTAGATCTGAACTTTCTCAGTTTCATGGTGGGATGGTATTGCCATCTTAAGTAGAGGAACAGGGGGTGGTATGTAGCGTATCAGGTTAAAGATCTTCACCTGTACCCAGGAGGTTGTGGGTTCAAATGGTGCAGCTGGCTGAGTAGTCATATCACCACTGGGCCCCAGCTGCCTCATCCCCAACTGCGGCCCCAAGTTTTCCTCATTTGCATGTCACCTCGCACAAAAGGATTTAAAGGGGACATGATACACAAGATGTACAGTAGTTAGCATAAATTAAGCCATCTTGTCCTAGCACAGGATGTGATGTCATGAGGTTGGTTGGCTTGGAGTTTGTACATTAGATCACATTAACTTGCAGCCACCTTTTGTAAAACAAAGTCTGTAATATTATGCCACCTTAAACTGAAGCTCTCTTGTCTTATACTTAGTAATCTAGTGTCAAAGATGGGTTGATCAAAGTAGAAATTTCACCAGCGTTATATTGTTTTATTAGCCCTTGGTGCGTGACCCCACCGTCTAACAAACTTGCTATATCATGAGCTTGCCTAGTAACTAGCAGGCCTACTAGCTTCCAAAACGATGGAAGCTCCTGCCAGACAGCGACTGCTATATTAATGTCAACTTAAATTAACGACTTTGTGAAAGTAGACTCTTTCATTCATGCTGACATTGCAAACATTGTAATTTCATATTTTGGAGCTTACGGAAAAAAACAAGTGACATTTTCACCTTGCTGTATGAGTGTAGCATACAACAGCTGAAGGATGTGACTTCCGACATGTCTTCAGCGAGTTTGTATCAAATTACACAAGGTTCTGAGGCATCTGCATCTATTCTCTTGCACCTGTGTAATTCCATTGTGGATTATTGTTTTAATGCTTTCTTTAAGGATATTAATAATTTCCAGTTGCTTATTGGAAGCCAGCATACATAATGGTCCCATAGCATATCTTTTTCTTCCAGTTGAGTACTGGTGTTCTCCAGTTGGCAGACATGGTTTTATTCTGTGTTTGACTTGCACTGTAACCCCTAACTAAAGTTAAAAAATGATTTTCGCCTTAATGCTTTACATTTTATGAAAGTAATTAATTACATGATCAATTAAAAGTTACTCTGTACTTTGCTGCATTTGTATCAATGCAATATCGGATTCATATATTTTTTTTTTTAAACCCCCGTGGTAAAGATATGGTTTTATATATTGCAGCATTCCTGTCAGCTGTGTAAAGAAAAATCTTCTTTTATTCTCTTACGATCTCTGGTAGATTTCTTTAGCAAGGTCCTTTAAACAAAGGTGTTGATTTTATGGGCTATAGCTTTTAATTAACTGGCTGACATTTCATCATTCTGACCCATTTACCCTCATTCTTTATGGTCAGATATGAATTATATCTTGACGCATAGCTAAAGCAGGGAAGGTCTCTCTGAATGATAACGATATTCCAAACCATACTTCAGTTCAGACCTTAATTTTGAACCTCGGTTCAGTTTTTTTTTTTCTTTCTTTCTTTCTGGTGGGTCAGTGGGGGGGGAGGTGAATAAGAAAAAATGGGGAAAATATTCTGGGTTTCATTCATCTTTCGTGCACCGCTGAGATCAGTATGGTTTCCAAGGTGCACTTGCAAATTTGAAGTGCCGGCTGTGGACGTTTTTTCTGAAACACCTACAGCCCTCCATGATGATCTGTGGCATTTTGTCCAGACATTCGATTCTATTGGTTTGATGTTGTTTCCCTTTTTCTAATTCTCGCCAGCAGCAGCCAGCTTCCCTGTGCCCAGCCCAAGCCCAAACATGGCCTTTCCCGCCCCGGGGGGAACCATGTACCTCACCACCTCCACTGGATACCCCTACACATACCACAATGGCGTGGCCTACTTTCACAGCCCCGAGATGAGTCCTTCAGCTCACCACTGGCCTGTGAGTTGCCATAGCACATGCAGCATTGTAATAACACTTAACCCTTCAAGGCTTCCCTCAGAGATCACATTAACTTTGAGTCTGTAGCAAAAGCAAAACAAAGTTGTTTATTCTGGTGTGGTCGGCAAACACGATAATTTGACTTAATATAACCATGGCAGTACACTGCTCCAAATTCCCCTTATTACAGAAACAATAAACAAATGTGGCTCACTCATCGACCTATTTAAATATCTAATCTTGAAGACCACCATGTCTGTAATGCACTGAGGAAGCTATAGTCTTGTTTAATAATAATATTAACTTGCATGGTTGTTGTCCGAATGATAAATGTGGGTCACGCCACATTGTCTTAGAAATTTTGTAATGTTGTCTGGCAGAGATTGATTACATTTCCATTTTAACACAGAAGCAGCTGATGTTAGAGCTTTGCCCAATGCTCTGGCTGTATTTTTCATCTTGTAATACTAACAGCAGGATGCCTTTATGTCGTTCCAGGTTTTCTTTCCCAAACGAATATGGTTTTTGCTTGTCTGTTATGCTTTCTTGAAATTAAATGACATTTTAAAAATGAATTGTAGGATGGAAGTCTACCACATAAGTTGGACAGACACAGCACAGCGGGGTTCAAACAAGGGATTTTGTGAAAAAGGCAGAAATATAATAATAAAAAAATATATATTGTAAACATGTGCCTGGTGCTTCCTGGGATAAGCTCCAGTCTCTGCACTTCCCTGCACTGGATTTATGGTTAGAAAATGGAGGATAAATTACTCAAAGAAATACGGCAAAAAATATTTCCTAACCCAACAAATCCATGTGCTTAACATAATCTCTGAATCCTCCAGGCTTAAACCCTCACAAGGTGACTAGATCAAAGTAAACACGAGAATCATCCAGGTCTGCTGCTCTTAAAAATGCAGCATCCCGTTTTACTGTGAATGACATGCAGAATCATAGGGTTCAGGTGAATTTTTACTTTTGTAATGATGTATTGCTACTATAATATTTAGCATGTTAATTCTTTAGGTACAATGACAGTTACTTCTGTGCAGTTTTAAGTCTGAAATACTGTGGTCCGGACCTTGTTTTTTAACGTGTTTCCATCAATAGTTTGAAGTATGCAGGTGGTTCATTGTGTTGAAGTGCATCTCATATTAATTTGGGTGTGTGTCCCACAGCCCCGGTCAGTTTCTGGCTCTCCAGTCATGGTGACCCATCCCCCGACGGCAGTCTACCCCCCCCCGCCCGCCTTCCATCCCTACCAGGTTTGCAGTTTGCCAGCTTCCGGCATGCTACTTATTACACTAGTCAGTGTATGGCATGTTTTGTCTCCTTTTGAGCCAGAAAAGAAGTGAATTATTTGGTTTATATTTAATATATACACTTCTGTAATGCTTTTCTAATTATTTGCTGGGACAAAAACTTTAATCAAAGCCTTATGATTATGTGTTTGGTCCTGCCTGTTGTCCATTTTAGCTTCATTAGAACAATTTCGGTTGGTGCGTTCCTCAAGGGTAGCATCAAAGGGTCCTTTTTTTGGATTGTGCACCCATCCTGTGTATGGCAGCCTAAACACTCAGCTTCCTTTTGTGCCTGTCCTCCAGGCACCAGCCCATTGTGTTACTGGACCAGTGCAGTGGAATATATCCCAAGTAAGAGAGCCCTGTGTGTATGATCCTGTTTGTGTGTGAAAGATAGAGAGAGTGATATATGTATAATAGTTTGTCTGGAGTTTTGTCCAGCTTGACTATAGGGTGAAACTGTAAGCCTGCCGTGACACATGACAGAACACTGATTTCTCGCAGTGTCCAGTGCCCAGCAGCCCCCTGCTCTATGTCCAGCCTTCGGAGCTGCTGTACCAGCCAGTTGAGCTGGCGTCTGATGGGGGCTGTGTTCTCCCTTCACTGTCCCTGCTGGAGGCGACCACTGCAGAGGTACTTCAGGGGCTTTGCGATAGAAGGACTATTACCTTAGGTTATAATGCAATAATACATCCACATAGGAAAAATAAAGGATTTCTCAGGTTGTTAAAAAAGATGTTTCCAGTCTCCGATTACATTTGCATATATAAAATGTTGCTCAAATTATTCAAATCTCCCTGAAACAATTCTCCTCTATGTATTACATGTAGTAGATGTTCATTATTATTTCTGCTAAATAATATAGGCCTGTTGCTATATCAGTTCATTGCATTTTGTGTAAAATATTAACTTTGTTGCATTAGGATGGTAGGTATCAAGACTACATTACGTTCTATGCTTTAGACTTGGTTGTCTTGTCTTGCTTTTCTGCTCCTTGGCAAATACAGGAGTGGGGTGTTTGGTTAATTGCTTGTCCTCTAACTGCATTGTCATGGCAGCCGTATGTTGATCACATGGTGCAACCAGCCTATCACCAGGTGTATGCCCAGAGCCCTGGGGGAGTAGCACCGCCTGTCATTCAGCAGGAGACAGCAAAGGTCAGAATTCATCTTTGTTTCCAAACCTTACCTGTTATTTCTGCATATTATCATGGAAGTATAGTGTTGTTGCCAACGCTATATAGTAAGTCTCTCAAGTGGTTACAGATGCTCCCTGGGTTAAGATGGGGTGTATTCTGATAGCCCTGTCATAAGGCAAAAATATCATACTGTTTTAATACAGTACACCATACCTAAGAAATATGATAGCCTTGCCTAGCCCACCTTAAACATGCTTAGAACAAGTACATTAGCCTACAGTTGGGCAAAATCATTACCACAAAGCCTATTTTATAATAAAGCGTTGAACATCCCGAATGTAATTTACTGAATGATTTACTGAAAGTGAAAAAAAGGGTGGAACTGGAATGCCCATCGTAAAGGCAGAATACCATAACGCTGTATACCCGGGGAGAGTCTGTGCCGTTTGTTTATTTCTTCTCCTGGTATTAAACTGGAGAAATTGCTTGAACTGAGCACATATGAAAGTTGCACATGCTAAGTAACCGCACGTCTACTCGTTTCCAGGAGCAGCGCTTTCACTCCATTAGGCGAGGGTTCCCCCATTCGCCGGTCAGCCTGAAGACACGCCACAGCCGCAGCCCCCACTACACCTACCCTCACAAGGAGTATCGCACGGATATCACTGCCCTGTCTCCCCAGCCCAGTACGGAGCCCCTCAAGTAGAGCAGACAGGTCTGGTTTGGTTGTGGGCCATGGGCCCGATCTCCTGGAGGAGCCGTGCTCTGTAGACGGCAGGCAAGCCCACTGCGTAAAACACAACCTGCTCCCCTGCCTGATATCTACCAGAAAGCACATCATCATACTTCCTGCTTTTATTCACTCAGATCCGCTCTGGGTTACACCGTCACACCCCATTAAATGTAATGCAGCAGATGCCAGTTAATTAATTGCACACCCAGGTGGTGCACTCTGGACTGGTATTAGAGTTCATGCTGCATCTGTTTGCCATCTGATATTAATACTAATTACTACACATACATGTTTATTTTAAGATCACATTTTTAAAAAGTATTGTGGAAATTTGAGGAAACAAAGAAACAAGGCTGCCGGACGTCAGTATTCATGAACAGTGCTTTGCTCACGATGACCAGATTTCTCGTGAATGCTTCACCCATCTGTAGAAGTGGCACGATTGCAAAAAAGGCACAAAAACTCCTTTTACCATCAAAGTGCTAAGAGGTAAATAAACTGTCTACATAAACTGCATTTGGCGCTTTACTTTAAGGAACAAATTCTAGAATTTTAGACCCTGCACCCTGAACTTGAAACATACAGTGACAGAGAAACTAATGAAAAACCACATCAATCACATCTGAGAATAATGAATGAGTGAGCAGATTCTGTTTATTGTAGTTATGTTGAGACAGACCTGAACTTGAAATGGGAAAATGCTTCAGAGCTGTCTCCGGTATACTGACCCCTCAGTGCTTGAACCTAAAACACTGTGTTTTTTACTACGGTGTCATGTTGGGTTTCAGATAAGAACACACCTACTATAGCAGACTTTTTTCACTGGTTTTTTTTTTTTTTTTTCCGTTTTAAAGTAATACAAATGTATCCTTATAAAGTAATTAACTGAGAATTGCTAGCTGTATTGAAACGTACAATCAGATATCTTTGTTTACGTGCTACCATAGCAGTTTTTGTCAAAATGCCAAATAATTAGCATTTCCTTTTATAGGTCCAACTGTTTTGTAGTATACCACTGTGCTTAAGCAGAGCAAAAGCTTTAAATTTTTTTCTAGCATTTCTGTAATCTAAAACTAAAACTGTTCACTGCTGTTCATTTTTTTTCTGAGAATGAAAAACAGAAATTTAAAGGTTTTGAAACGTGCCAAAAAGTCAAGGATGTCCCTTGAAACATTTAAAAAATGGCATTGAAGTTCCATTGCAAGGCAGAAAGATCCTTTCATCAGTTCACATATTTGACACCAGGGGGCAGTCCCACATTGGTCTTTACTTAAAAGCGAAAACATTGCAACTGAATAACACTAGTATAAGTCTGCTGGGGAGGTTACATGGTCCTGCCTAGATATCTAGCATATGTGGACAAAGTTTGTAGCAGAGAGGACCGGCTTGCTGTGAGATCTGGCTTCATGAGGTCCACATCTGCACTTCATTTCTGCTGCTGCCTTTGAGTAGAACCTGGCAGCCCAGTTTCCACAGAGGTTGAGCTTGGCACATGCCATTACCAATCCAGACAGCGTAACCTTCTGAATGCTGTAGTCTGTTGTGTACCGTTACCTCCTGTATGTAGAGTGTGACTAACATATTAATTTGCTGGCACGGTACAAGCTGTATCCTATTTATACCTGTCTCTGACATTTCCTCGGCCAATATAATAAGTTATCACAAAATGTTGAAATTTTTATTGTTATAGAGTGAGTAGGAGCCAAGAAAGTCAGAATTTGGGGCACAGTCCGGTCAGTCAAGGCATTCCTGCTATCTCATACACCAGTTCTTATTGTTCCTCATTTCTATTGTTCTCTTCCTGTCTTGCCACCCTAAAACAAGTTTGTTTGAGGATCCAAACTGTACATTTTATTTGCTGGACCTTTTGTAGCATGGAATAATGTAAATACAAGATGGTGAGGAAAACTGATACTTTTTTGCTGGGTCTGTGCAGGAAAAAAAAGATTCTCTAGCATAAGTCTTCACTTGCATCAGGATTTCTCAGATGCATAAATATTTTTGTATTGTGTCTTTGCATCTCAGGAATGTGTTTTCTCCATTACAAAAAATACAATGAAGTTTGCAATGGAAAGAACAAGTTTGGATGTTTCAGTTTATTAGGCACAACAAATTTAACTTTGTATTTTTCTGAAAGAGTAGTTTACTTGATGTTTACACTGACGTACTGAATCCCAGTGGATTTGTTAGAGATAGACATTTGCCAGATTTTTATGCAAGACATCCAAATTTATCCTTTGTTTTTTCGAAAGCAAACATTGCATACAGTGTTTGTCCTTTTCAAGAGATACTAGTGTTTTTCTTGGTTAGTTTTACAGCTTTTCTCAGCAGGACAAATTATTTTTCACTTATTGTTTGAAATTCTTTTTATACAGTAATGATGACTATTTACTTTCAACGCAGAAAGAGCAGCAGGGTGATAACTGTCAGTGGTTACTGTCTGGACAGTTCCTTTTTTTTTGTTTGGTTTTGCCTTGGCAGCGTGCCTTGGCAGCTGGCTGCTCCTTTATGTATGTCGGCTGAGTACAATTGCATGTATTTAATTCTTGAACCTGACTTTGAAAACTTATTTTTTTATATGGTAAAACGTGATGTATTTAAAATACTGTATTAGCAGAAAATGGTGAGAACATTCGTAGAGCATTTCCCTTGGGACTGTTGAGTGAATACATTGCTGTCTCTATTATTTTTATTAATCATTACATGGTATTAGTGTACAATAGCTCTCATAGAGTTCGGCACTGAAATTTTCTCCGATATTTTATTGCCGTTATTTTTTGCGTGCAGTTTATTTTTTGTTATTCAAAAAAAGATTTACCGTGGTGTCATTCAATTCACAAAAAAATAATTTAGTTTAATTTATGATTTAAATTTATGATTTATGACATCAAAAAGTCAACAGGTTAGATTTTAAATTGGTTCAGGTTGTTTTATTAATAAAAACAATGACTGTTGTAGGTTTATTCATTTACTTGAAGTTGTAGAAGTTCTTTTAGGATTGACTTTAGTTGGTTTTGTTTGTGTAATTCTGGTATTAGAAGTTGTGTTTTAAGTGCCTGGGCAGTTTCACACACGCTGCAGGAGATAAGTGTATTTAAACATTTTGTATTGAGTTGTCATTTTTTTCTTAATCTCCCTTAAATTGTACCATGTGTCATTTTAGTGCATCACTTATAATGAGAGTGTTTTATGTTGGCTAAATGTACTTTAAGGACGATTAAGGACCTTAATTTGAAAATTCATCACCCACCCACTCTAATGCATGCATGAAGTGTTATATTTGTCTGTCTACATCTTAATGCACATCATAACCGAATGTGATTCTGTTTACTCATATGTGGGTGTGACCTGTGCCTGTGCTTCTGCCCTTGACCCAGTCTCTAGCTCTTTGAGCTGGTGGTCAGCAGTGACCACACATTCAGTCAGAGCTGCTTGTGTGCTGCTTGCTCATAAATAACCAAAAAAGTAGGCTGCTTTGTATATAGTTTTATATTCATGGGAAACTTTTACATTTTGTATATCTATTTCTATTCTGTACTTTATATTTTTACTGCTTTACAAATTGTTCTTGTTAAATTTGAATTATTTGTAATCTCTGTATTGCTTTTTGTGCATGTAGATGTTCAAGATGGGGGGTTGATATACCAGAAAATAAAAGTGTTGCAGCTTTACAGTATTTGTATTTTATTTATTATTATTTTGGAAATTGTTAAGCAGAGTTTAGTCGGTGTACTTTTATATGTGCAGTAAGGTGAATCTGTGTCTCTAAATTGCCCTTAGTGTGTGATTGCGTGTGAGTGTGAGTGTGGCATCCCATCCTGAGTGTCCCTGGCCTTGTGTCCTGGGCTCTCTGGGACCTGCTCCAGGCTCGTTCTGTCCCAGCACTGGATAAGAAGGTATGGAAGATGGGTGGATGAATGTATTTAATGGGATGGTTGTTATTCCTAAATTTCAGGATATGCACTGAGTACTTGTTGAGCAATGCAAGGGGGATACTGTTTGGTGGGTTGACACCATGGGTGTATGGTGTACATAAATGCTCTGTGGATCTTGTGTTGTTCCATTGCTGATGATGAAGAACAGCCAAGCTAACCAAAAGTTCATGGGATTAAAACAAGGCATGTTATCTGACAGGATGGTAACATTTGTTACATGTCATAACAGCTGATTCTGGTGGAGCTAAGTTCTCCCACGTCTCCTACAGTCCTTGTGTGGTCTCTGCAATTATGAACGATGTATTACTGCATCAGACATGAATAACACTGGTGGGAATAGCTGATTATTGTTATGGACTGTGAAACAGTGAGTTAGCCATGCGTTAACTTTAGATCGACTGTCAAATAGAAGAATACATTTCTGTCCTCCGTGTATCTCGTTTCCATAACCTCATTACCACCAAATTAAATGGCACCATAGTCCTGACAGTTTTTTTTATTTAAAGAATAAATAACTGTGATTATGAATATTTTAAAATAATATTTCTAAGTTAATTTATAATACATACGGTGTGTTTTGTTAGTATTGTGATAACGTTCGTACTTCATTTAACGTATTTACACAATTTGGAAGCTTTAATGGTGATATTACATGATGGAAAATATACGCGGCTGTCACATTTCCACCTTACGCGTTTGTAAATGCTAAATCATTTTGTCAGAGCTTTGAGTTGATCAGCTTAACTTAGAAGACTCAATCACGGGAGTGAACTAGCATCTCAGGTCTTTGTTTTCCTATGTAAGAGTAACGACTTCGCATTTAATACGCAACTTTTTTATTAAGCTTAACAAAGCGTTTAAATACAAAGTTACTACTGCGCAACATAATGCAAAGTTTCAAGTTATTATTGGGAAGAACTTAAATTGCTCGCCATCGGCGCCTCGGCGACTAAATCGTTGCCTTGATTGGCTTCATCACCATCATTCCCACCCCCTCCAAAGGGTATGATCGAGGTATTGCGCCTTTTTTCTTCCTTTTACGAAGCCTAGCCAAAATAAAGAAGTGTGCATTGCCTAAATTGATCATCCCCCTTCCTCATTCCTACCTTCCCAAGTACATCAGAGACTTTGGAGCGCTGGATTTATTTTTAGCAGATGTCTGGGAAGTGTGCGTTGTGGGATTTTTTCCATCGTGGGCAGACCTTGAAAACAGCATATGAAGTTCTTTTCTTTTTTAATTTGCTTTGTCTTTTATGCGTACTTTAAATTATAACGTTTTGTCTGGAAGTGTTTTACTACTAGAGTTGTACGTTTTAGGGAAAGTCGACATCAGGATTTTCATTAACATATCTTGCAAAAAAAAAACATGGTATAGCGCCCCTCACCGTGTCCGAAAGCGGTGGGCGCACGTCATTCTCTGTTTGGGGATCCCGTGGGTTATGCCGGCCGAGTCGGGAAGGTGGAGGGGGAGGTTATCCCGGTAGCCCCGAAGACGGAGCGGACCTCCTTCGTCTGCGTGGCACAGAGGAGCCCCCCTGGGCGCGGCCTGTGCCCGCTGGAGCTCCCAGCACGATGGGGTGCGGGCTGAGCAAATTGGAAGACCGGGAGGACAGCAGCCCGGGGAAGATTTATTCTACTTTGAAAAGGCCCCAGGTGGAGACCAAGTGCGACGTTGTGCATGAGTATGTGCTACTGGACTTCAGCTTAGAAGGTAGACGCCACGTATTTTTCAGAGAACGTATTTAAAGCTTTGGTTAAGTGCCTATTTTTGTGTGCGTAAAGTTCAGTAACAAAAAAGTGAAGTATGCATTTATAAAATATAATCAGTTCTATTGTTCATTTGTGCTAATGTTGCTTCATGCTTTTTAGTTTTTTTTATTATTATATGTTTTTCGTAGTATTTTTCGTTTAACAGAAAAGTGTCGATTTGCTACCAAAACACATATACTACTTCAACAGTATTTCTGAGAAAGTGAACCCACATTTGGAACAGTTTATGGGTTGAGTTATTGAGAAAATGATGGCTCATTAAGTCTCGTAGCAACGGAACCATCGTGTCCCCGAATGAAAAATAGGTCAGTGTGTGTGTGTGTGCGTGTGTGTGTATGGACCAAATGTCCCCCACAATGTAATAAAAACCTGTTTTTTGACGTTGTGGGGACTATTTTTCAGGTCTCTGCAAAGATCTGTGAATGCAATCAAAAAAGTAAAAATGTCAAAAGACTTGTATTTTGTTTGGTTACTTATGGTTAAGGTTAGGGCTGGGTTGGGGTTAAGAGTGTCATGATTGAGATTAGGGTTCTGCCTGTATAAATGTATGAAAGGTCCCCATTTAGATAGGTATGCCAACGTGTGTGTGCGCGCGCGCACGTGTGTGTGCGCGCGCAGGGGGATTCAAAAACGTGAGCTGCTTTGCCGTGCTGAAGAATAGACTGATCTCGTACAAGTAGTTGTATCTGTCCACACTTTCAAAACATATGATTTCTATCTTAACAAAATATAGTATTAAAGTAAGCCAGATAATTCAGTTTCCTGTGTATATTAAATTTTGTCTTTAAAAAACAATGCATTGTCTCACGTGCAGTATGTTTTGATTTAATCTCATGGTATTGTTAATATTCAGCATTTGTATGGGTTATCATTTTAACCTGCATGACCCATTTTCAGGACAAATGGTGAGACTGGGGTCACCATTTTCATAACACTCAGTTTCCCACATTGTGTGACCGCTTAATCCTTCGAGCATCTGGACATCGTCATAAAAAGACATTGTGGTGTGCTTGTCTGTCCTAACTCATGCAAAGCTTTCACTACTGGGATCTCATGTCCTATGCAATTAAAATTAATATATGGTTAAAGTTAAATCTGTCTGATTTCATTTTAAAATACAATTAAAGAATGATTTAGGCGGCAGTGGACTTTACATCTCTCTGTGGGCTTTAGTCTATTTTCCTGGAATCTATTGTTACTCCTTGTGATAATGTCTACAGACTTGTCACTGCTCTGATGACTCTGACTCAAGATTAAAGTTCACATATCACTACCTAGTCACATGACACAGAGGGCGGAATCTGACAGATTGCACAGCTGGAGATAGGTTCCGCGGATGACCCAATTATTTAGCTATTTCTGCCTCTAGAAGCAGGATTTTAAAACATCATCATCTAACACTGATACTCAAATCACTTCACCTTCTTCAACCAGCCTTGATATTAAAGTGTTAATGAAAAATTCCCATGCTATATGGCCTCATTTCAGTTCTTTTACAAAATGTTAGCAGAAATGATGATGATATAAATGACCTGAAAATCTATTCCAGTCTTTCCTATTCAACACTCTTTAGATAATAATGTAGAGATTTATATTTCTCCATGAGATTCTAAGGCCTATCAGTGATGTAAGTCACATAATGTCCATCAGTGCACCTACAGCAGCTTGAACATAAATAAAATGATTTCAAGTTGACCTTTATTTGAATTTTAATGTCTAAATGTTACTTGCTTTCACTATTACATTGCGCGCCTGTTGTGTATTATTTATTTGTAATATACTATACTATCACACTATTATAATATTAGTTTTTATTTGTACTGGGTGTGGCTGAACAAGTAAGCATTTCAATACTCTTCTTACACATGGCCAATAGAAGATCTTGAAACTTCAGTCTCAAGGCAGAAAAAAATAAGTTTGTCTTTATATATCAAGAAAACATCAGCACTTTCTGAGACAGTCTGTCACAGAAAATCACCAATATTGATACTTTGGCATATAATCAGAAACATAGCTAAATATGAAAAATGTGCATATTAATAAACCTGAAGGAGGATTAGTTGTTATTTAGTGGAGAGTTGTGTGTCATATTCAGATTGTAAAATATTTCCCTAATCTGTAGCTTGGACATAAAGAGACAAATGCAGTATCAGTGAATCTAGGTCTATCTTTAAAAGGTCCAGATAATCCTGAAACAGGAGTGACTGACAGGGACTGGAGTCCAAGTTTAATATACAGGTGGAGTTACGTTCTGGTAAACCTATTGTATGGTGAAAATATCTTAAGGCGAAATCGCATTTTAATATAGTACACCTAACCTAATAAACATCATAGCCTAACCTAACCCACCTTAAACATGCTTAAAACACTTACATTAGCCTAAACTTGGGCAAAATCATTAACACAAAGCCTATTTTATAATAAAGTGTTGAATATCTCATGTAATTCATTGAATAATCATACCAATTGTAAAATCAAAATATTGTAATGCAGAGCATTGTAACCTGGAGAGCGTCTGTATAATGATCTGATTACAGATTCAATGTTGGGAAAGCGAAGTAATATAAGAGCAGTTTAAGGGTAATAGGAGAGGGTTACAGGAGTCTGGGGACCTCGGGACAGATGCGCTTTCTCAGGACCTTCAGACACCCACTAAAATAGTTTTTTTTTTTTTTAATTCCGAAAACAGTTGAAGAAGCTGTTTGCTTTATCTTTGCGTCTTGTCCTGGAACAGCGTAGGTAGAATCACTGGGCAAAGTCCAGTTGTCCCAGTTATGTGTCCGTAACGGGTGTCTCATCCAGGCTTGTGCCCTGTGCTCCCCTTATTTTGGTGCCCACTGAGCCAATATGCCACCACAGCCGGAAGCGTAAAAGAATGCATACAAATCATGTGTGAGTCTCCTGCCCCTTGTTACCAGGGGAAGCTGATTGGCTGGCTGTGCTTTTAACCTCCACCAAGGCACCTTTTGTTTCCATTATCTTCTTTTTTCACGTCTTCTTTCCATATGTCTTTTTTGCTTTCTTTTCGGTGATATTTATGTATTTCCCTTTCCCCCAGGAGGGCTTTACTCTGGCTCTCTGCTGTAGCAGCTCAGTAGCAGAATGCAGTGGCCAGTGCACTTGGCCTCAGGGGCTTGGCCTGGTTTCCTGTCGGAGCCCATGGGAGAGGAACCTCAGGCTGAAGCTCCCTCCTTCTCTTCAGAGTCGCCCTTCTGACAGCGCTGTGTCTCCCCTTTGTCTCTCTTCACTTCCCCCCAGGCAGCCGTGCCACTGTGCAGGGTCTGGCATCCTTGTGCGAGTTACCCAAAGCCCTGGAGCCATACTACACTGAGGGATACACACTGGCCGCACTGCACCCCGTCGTCCTGTCTGTGAGACGGTCTGGTGCCCTGCCTTGCAGCCTGCAGTACCGGGCCATTCTGACTCGCCCTCGGACCAGGTGACCCATCAGCGCCATCTGGGGATGAGTGTGGTGCCTTCAGACCTGCCCTCATAACGTGTGAACCAGTGAATTATTGAGCCATAATTAGCCAGGGACTGCAGCATGGGAACACAGGAAAATCAATATCTCCTCTCATGTCTGAGTTATTTCTGATGCTATCAGATGTTTCAAATACAAATAAATATGAAGACTGCTGTGGTCTCATACACAGTTATAAGACTAAATCCGCATCGATACAGGACTGATGATTCTTTCCAGTAGACATAGCTGCCTTGGACTTTGTTTCCTGTGGAAATTTTTCACTGTCTGGCCTGTAAACGTCAGAGAGTATTCCCACAGAGAGGCCCACTGCCAGACATGACCTGTCTAGACATCTCCACTCCATACTAGGCATGATAGTCTTGCTGTAGCTGCGATAACATCTGTCTCCGTTCTGTCTATTTGGTTCATCTACTGTAACCTCACACACCTCTCAATGTTTATCCATACCGCCCCCCGCTGCCCTAACTCCAGAACTGTACTCCCTTAAGTCAGCTCAGTCTTCATTCCTCTCAACCCCCAGAGTTACATGGGGGTGCAGTAAAGCTGAGTGACTCTCCTGCTCCCCCCCCCCCCCCCTCTGTCTGACTCAGTAAGGATATGGTGCCAATGTGCCAGAGAGCTCCTGTGCTGAGGGTGGAGGAGTGGCCCCTCCCTGGAGACTCCTTGACCGCTGACGTAATACAGGCTCTCATTGACAGGGTAAGCCCATCTGACCAAGCCTGTCAAGTCCATGTAGTCTAATGCAGTGTCTCCAAACCCGGTCCTCGGAAAATGTGGACAGTCTGGTAGGTAGCTGGGAGGGAGTAAAAACGTGGACCGTCTGGGGGTCTCCGAGGACCAGACTGGGAAACACTGCTCTAACACTGGTATTACTGCTCCCGTGTCTCCCACAGTTTTCTCTTTCTCGTTGAGTATCAGGTCTTCAGCCTGTCGAATGTCTGTTTCTCTGCTCAGTTTTTCTACTTCCCAGGTGGACAGATGTGCGCGTGGCGGCTTGAGGTTCGTGGGCTCACTGCTGCAGCAGGCAGGAGGATGGTCACTGGGCTGCAATGGGCGGAGCTGCGTATCCCCTGCCCAGTCACCCAGCGAAGGCCCCGGCCTGGAGGAGTCCAGAAGCACCAGTCCTGGTGAGAAGACCATCCAGATGGCCAGTAAAATCTGTTCTATTATTGGGTCTTGTGTTTCACCATTAAATTAAAGGTTTATGCTGCCTACTTGCTCTTGAGGGACGGTGTGTGTCATGCAGGGATGCATTACAAATTTTCTCAGGTTTCCAAAGTCACTGGTTAAGGGAACTGTTACAGGTGGGCAGAGGTTACAGCTTTTGAGTCACCATAATGGTCCGGTATTTGTAACCTTGGGCAAATTACCCCCTATTGTCCTAGTCAAAATACACAACGTCGTGTTCAACTACAGTAGATAGATGTCTACACACCCCTGTTTAAATGGTAGGGATTTGTGATCTAAAAAAATGAAACCGAGATAAATCATGTTAGAACTTTTTTGTGCCTTTAATGTGAAACTGCAAGCTATACAATAAGGAAAGAAATCAGAAATCTTTTGGGGAGGGGGTAGATAAGCTAGTTGCATAAGTGTGCATACCCATAAACTAATACTTTGTTGATGCATCTTTTGATTTCATTACAACAATCAGTCTTTTGGGTAAGAGTGTATGATCATGGCACATCTTGACTTGGCAAAAATGTTCTAGATCCATCAAACTGTGAGGGCATCACCTGTTCATAGCCCCCTTCGTGTCTGGGATCTGGCTGGGCAATTCCTAAACATCGATCTTCTTTTAGTGAAGCCATTCATTTGTTAATTTGTGTGCATGCTTTGGGTCACCGTCATGCTGAAAGGTGATATTTCTCCACATTTTCAGCTTTTGAGCAGACGTGAAGGTTTTGTGCCATTGCACCCTGTGTCTGTGACCATGACCAGGATAAACATTTGGAAGATAAATAGATTTTATATGATATTATAAGTTATGCGGTTATGTACCACACTGGACATGCTGAACTAATTTAAACAAGATCCACCGTTAGCGCCATGGCCTAGACAGTGAGTCATGGAATCAGTGAGTTAAGTTGGTAAATATTCTTCGTAATTTCCTAATGCAGTTTTTTTTTTGCCCAGATCTAAATCTGTTGGTCCTGTTCCATTCTTGGGATTCATGCTGTGTCCCCTTGGACCCTGTGACATACTGCTACCACCAAGGGGCTTTGTCCATGCGAGTCTCTCGGAAGGGCCATGTTATCAGCTCACTGGAAGCTGATTGGCTGGAGCTGACTGCCACATATTACCAGAGGGGCTGGTCATTGGTTGACTCCTTTGTGTACTGGGACACACCTAAAGGTAGTAAAGCTTTACTTCTTGACTGAGGCACTGCAGCAAACTTGACTTGTTAGTCACTTTTTTTAGTTACTGCCCCGAGTACCTTACTAAAATATATATATATATATATAAATGTATATAAAACAGAAATTGTTACTCATGATGTTATTTAGTCCAGTACTGCCTCCCCTAAATCCATTTCCTGTTTCCCCATCTTTATCCTCCCTCTCCTTTTCCATTAATCTGTCTGCTTGGTTTTTGTGACCTTCCCATTATTTTGCGTCCTGTTCTGTCCTCCCCCCTCTTTAACTTCCTGTTCTCTCTTACCCTTATCTTGCCCTCATCTTTTTTTCCCACTGGAGCCAAATATAGTCCCCCCTCTTTAACCCTACGGCCTTGCTTCCCATTTGCTAAAATGCTTGGGGCTGCATCTGCATTATATACTCCATTCATTAGTACATGGTGGTTCGTCAGTCACATCCTGCATTGTCAGCGCTGCCTCACATGTGTTGTCTCTCATACTGTGGCAGAGTAAAAGGACCAGGCAGCACATATCTTGACATCATACAAATGTGAGCATACTCCGAGATAAGGCAAATACTCCTTCAGTAATTTTAGCGTTGGTCTTGATGTATCGACTTAATTGCACTGTTACCTGTTACGTTGTTGCATGGGGGCAGTTGTGTTGTGCATGTGAGTGTGCACACTGATTTCACTGTTGGGCCCCTGAGCCAGGTCCTTAACTCTGAATTGCTCCAGGGATCTGTTAAATAAATAAATGTAAATGTTACAGCAACACTTTTCAAAATGTCCTGTTGCATAGTGCTGTGCTACACTGCACTGGCTGACAAGCTGTTGGTTTTGTTACTCTGTGTGTTAGGGGAGCCTGTGCCCAGGTCTCTGGAAGGGCTGTTTTTGTACGAAGAGTGCAGTGCTACAGCCCCACCCAGTGACACCATCGTGGTGGAGCAGTGGACCGTGATTGAGGTGGGGGTGCATCTCGGCAAGCCTCAGATTTGATGTGTATCAATCAGTCTCTCGGCCATCTGTATCCACAGCTGTGATCTGTGTGAATGCCAGTTTATGGAAGATGTGCTAGAGCAGTGTTGCCCAATCCGGTCCTCAGGAACCCCGAGACGGTCCACGTTTTTGCTCTTTCCCACGCCTTGTGAGACAGTCCATGTTGCTCGCCTGTTGCAAAGACGTGGACTGTCTTGGGGTCCCCAAGGACCGGGTTGGGAAACACCGTGTAGAGGGCGTATGCATTTGTAGGAATGCCGCAAGATGCCCAGTGTGCCTGAAACACATGCAAACTCTTCCTCACCCACAAGCACCCTCTGTTTGTCTGTTCATGCATGGTCATCCCCAGGGCTCTGGCGTGAAGTCAGACTATGGTCCCCTCCTGCACACTCTCGCTGACTTTGGCTGGCTGCTTACCTGCGTTCTGCCAACACCCATAATCCGCCATGACAGGTAAAGTTTACACACTCTCTGACATATAGCGTACTATATAGGTATAAGTACTACATGCTAATGCTGATAGACAACACATTGCATATCAACCATCCGCCTCAGTTATTGTCTCTGTGTGAAAACTCTTTTTGTAATTGTTACAGTGAGGGAAATCTGGCCACAAAGCAGGTTTTATTTCTGCAGAGGCCTGTCACACCAGACCCAGTACAGCAGCAGAGTCAGGTAAGAGAACCACAATAGTGGCCCCGCCTTTATTTTGCCAGGATCATGTCTTGATATGTCAGTGTTGGTGGTGCTGATGCTGGGTAGATATACAGCAAATTTAACTGTAATATAGCCCAATAATTCGTTTTTTGGATTTCATTGGGAATTTTCTACATTTATTTTTACAAGAAGAACACTGCCCCCCAGTGGTGAGACACCACTAGCTGTGTTAGCTGTGGGACAAACAGGAAGTGTATGGTTGACGGCTTTGACTTATGTGCCCTCTTTCATTTGTGTCTTTAGAGAGGGTCCAACCCCAGGATGGTTTCCAGCTGCTCCGCAAACCTGGGGTTAGCCTTCCCTCCCCAGAAGCTGCCCTCCTGCACAGGGGAGACGGAGCAGTTCTCTGTCTATGAGGAGGGCTACTGCAGCTCCCTGTCCCAGCTAGGAGACGGCTGCCTGGAACAGGATGATGCCGCGGCCGAGGTCACATGTATGTGACACCCAGAGAGGCTCGCAGACGTGCGCCTGTCATTTCCATGCTCGCTAATTTCTTCTTAATGGAGACTGTAGATTCGCCTAATTTTTTCATTTGACACTTGTCTTTTTACAAAGCCATATGTACCTTCTTAGAGGTTGCACATTTTATATTCTTTAGCCAGAGAAGCATTTTTTTGGAGGATACATATCCATATGATGCATTTTCTGGTGTGCTATGGAAAATGTTTGAGTATTTCATAGACGTTCTAAAGATATATTACCTGAGACAATGACATCCCATCTGTGGTGCACCCCAGCCTTGTACCCTGTGCTGCCTGGGATAGGCTCTAAGCGACCCAGACCAGGATAACCAGTTAGAGGATGGGGGGATGGACGAACGGACGGGTGGGCAGACAGATTGACTGATTGATTGATTGATTGATGATTGATTGATTGATTGCCTGTAACTAACATTTCTGACTGACTTTGCTTAGCCTCTGCCTTGGTGATCCAGAATAATGGCCACTGCCTTTGAGGAATCCACAAGCAACTTAACAGAAGGTTCCATACAAATACAAATATGTACCCATGGCAACAGGTATTCCAGTGTGACAGACACACTGCCTGCAACCACAGAATGCAGGATATTCCTTCATGTTACTGAGGCTCATTTTTACCTTGTATAGAGGCTGTGAGCATTGAATATTGAATAGCAATAACAGCACATTTCATTCTGTATAAATATCTCCAGTAGACACAGATCTGTTAGTGCTGAGAATTAACATTCATGTAACGCAGGTTTTCTATAGCAAAAAAAAGAAAAAAATATATAGTAATGTAATAATAGTCATGTATTCACTTATTCTTTGAGCTGCTAGCTTTGAATTTACTTTATGTAAAATTTGTGTCTATTCAAGTTTCCAAAAGGCCATAAAAATTGCCATACAAATACACTACCATTCAAAAGTTTGAGTCACTTAGAAATGTCCTTGTTTCCCATGAAAACATGCATGAAATGAGTTTCAATAGGAAGTATAACTAAACAGATAGGACGTAGCCATTGACAAATTTAGAAATAATCATTCTTGAAATTAAAATAATAATTGTGTTCTTCACTTTGCTTTCGTCAAAGAGTCATCCATTTGCAGCAATTACAGCCTTATAGACCTTGGTCATTCTAGCTGTCAGTTTGTTGAGGTAATCTGATTAAATTTCACCCCGTGCTTCCTGAAGCATCTCCCACAGGTTGGGTTGGATTGGCTTGACGGGCACTTCTTACGTACCATTCAGCCAAGCTGCTCCTATAACAGCTCAATAGAGTAGAGATCCAGTGACTGTGCTGGCTACTCCCATTATACACAGAATTCCAGCTGACTGCTTCTTCCCTAAATAGTTCTTGCACAGTTGGTAGCTGTGTTTGGGTTATTGTCCTGCTGTAGGACGAAACTGGCTCCAATTAAGTGCCGTCCACAGGGTGTGGCATGGTGCTGCAAAATGGAGTGATAGCCTTCCTTCTTCAAGATCCCTTTCACCCTGTTCCAATCTCCCACTCTACCATCACCAAATCAGCCCCAGACCACCGCATTGCCTCCACCGTGCTTCACAGATGATGTCAAGTACTCCTCCAGTGTCTGCTCATTTGATCTGTGTCTCACAAACTGTCTTCTTTGTCTATCCATAAATAGCACTTTTTCCCCCAGTCTTCCTCTGTCCAGTGTCCATGTTCATCTCAGTCTTTTCTTTTTATTGGCCACTCTGAGATACAGCTTTTTCTTTGCAATTCTGCCTACAAAGCCAGCATCCCGGAGTTGCCTCTTCACTGTTGACGTTGAGACTGTTTAATGATGCTGCCAGTTAAAGACCTATGAGGCGTCCGTTTCTCAAACTACACACTCTAATATATTTATCCTCTCCCTCACTTGTGTACCGGGGCCTCCCTCTCCTCCTTTTATTGTGGTTAGAGCCAGTTTGCGCTGCTCTGTGAAGGGAGTAATACACAGCATTGTACGAGATCTTCAGTTTCCTGGCAATTGCTCTCATGGAATAGCCTTCATTTCTCAGAACAAGAATAGACTGACGAGTTTCAGAAGAAAGTTCTTTGTTTCTGACCATTCTGAGGTTGTAGTCGAACCCACAATTGCTGATGCTCCAGATATTCAACTAGTCCAAAGAAGGCCAGTTTTATTGTTTCTTTATTGCTTCTCTAATGATAAATTAACCTTTTAAAATGATAAACTTACATTAGAAAACATAACATTCCACTGGAACACAGGACTAATTGTTGCTGATAATGGGCCTCTGTACGCCTATGTAGATATTCCATTAAAAAACAGCAGTTTCCAGCTATGATAGTCATTTACGACATTATCAATGTCTATACAGTATGTCTGATCAATGTGATGTTAATGGACAATTTCCAATTTTTTTTCAAAAGCAAGGAAATTTCTAAGTGACCCAAATTTTTGAACAGTAGGGTATTTATGTACCTTATGGCCTGTCAAAGTTTTCATTGCAAATTTGGTATGAAAGCGCACTTCTTTTTTTAATACAATGCAAGTACTTACCAAGACTGATTCTAAGAGGATCAGTCCACATTAGCAGTAAACTATGCTATAGAGCTTTTATGGTACAAAAGATACTTGTCTGCTGGATTACAGACTTTACAAACTCTTGAGTACATAAATCTTTTAAAGCTAGAATTTCAAACCCTTTAACTAAATATGCAGGGAAACAGCCTTTTCATTTTCTTGTTGCAAATTACAGCAATAATTCAAACTGGTTTAAATCTGGTCTGTTCTATTATAACTGGGATGAACATGCTACAGTATTCTATTTGATTTAGCAAGATGTATGTCTATATCCTTTGTAAGTGCTAATGTCATTTTAATTAAAGTTCATTATTTGTATTATTGTAGTATTGTATTATATTTAAAATATTTGCATGCATGTATAGGAATAGAATTAAACGCTGGTAACGATCAAAACGTTTCAGCAAGCACGGTTGAAATAATCTAAAAATATCATCAAACCCATATAGTGTAGAATGTAAAAAAAGTAAAATTATAAAGCATAAGATGAATGAATTTAAATGGTGGACAAAAACGCCAAGAAACAATCTGTGGGTAACATTTAGTTTTTATTTTATTATTACATATACGGAAAATAATAATAAAACTTTAGTTCGTTAAAAAAAAAAGAAAGAAAAAAAATCACATGGCAGACAAGCTGTTGCAACCCACACAATAATTTAAAAATGGCAGACAGATGAAGAGGCAGCATGCCTGCCTAGGTGGGGCAGGAAAGCAGGACAGAAGTCAGACCAAGTCCAGAAGAAGCAGCTATCAACAGGACATCTTTTTTCCTTCCCAGAGGGGAAGGCAGTATATACAAGTTTTTTATTTTTATTTTAATCAGAACGTTAACCCTCATATGTATAACCCACAGACACACAACACTCTCGTGTTTTGTAACACCGAAATGCTCCCAGTTTCCAAGGCTATAGCAATGGCCTCAGCATCATGTTAGCTGAAAAGGCTTTTTTTTGTGCCACGGATTTCTCATGACACTGTTATGGTTTAGGTATGTTACGTCGGTGTGTGCATGTTGTAGTGTACAGTTGGCAAGTGGCGAGCCACTGCTCAAGCCTCACTCTCCCCCGCGGCTGCGTTCTGCACCTCCTCTTCCAAGATGGGAACGATCAGGTTATCCTTGGACATGAGATTGTACTTCATCACGAAGCGTGTGAACCGGTGACAGAGGAAAGTCTCATTCTGCATGGAGCGAGAAATGAATGAGACATGCGTCCTGAGAGAGACATCACATTAAATGGCTGCTCCATATCTTCATCGCGTTACATAAGCGTCCAGAACCTTCTGATGATCTACTTCTCAAAGGACACTTAGATTGTAAAAAAGGGAGACCCAGCTCCCAGTATGTGACTCACCTCATACTTGTCGAATATTTGCCTGTGGTGGAAATAGGCGTGGGAGAATATCCGGTAGATACGGCGGCACACTGAGCCCAGCTTAGCGACCGACGACTCTTTAATGCTGACTCTGTGTGCGTGGGGGTACAGTGATTTACTACCAGAAAGACACGGACTGTGCAGGTAATGTGTATGAAATGACACATCTGGGTGTGGTGGATGCTGTGTGAGAACAAGTAACAGGGAATACATGCAAACGTGACAGGAAGAGGTCATGCTCCAGAACCCACCGGCTAGGAAAATACTTGTTGCTGTTGAGAAGGCAGGCAGCGCCATCTAGGGTGTGCCTGGTGTAATCAATTGCGGGACACTGCAGACACAAGCACATAGCAAGTGGGAATGAGTCATGGCCAGAACAGCAGTGGAAGCTATGGAAACACTTCCTTTAAGCAACGAAATTATAATGTAAAAAACATAATCGACGGACAATCGCATGAGATCTCACCTCTTTGGGAGTCTTGTGAGCGGCACACAGGAAGATCCACTGCTCTGTAGCCGTCATCTGGGTGCAGGTGTCTGGATGACACTCGCTCTGTGGGGGTACAGGCACGTCAAACGCCTTCATTGAAGCAAGGGGAAAGGCAGATTTCTGGTAGCATTTAGAACCAGTGTGCTTACACTGCAAAAATAAAATGCTGCAGTGCGCCTCCCACACAACAACAAAGTGTTATTAAGAGTGAGGTAGTCAAATGAGCAAAGCAATACCTGCAGTTTCACAGCCAGGCCATTCAGCTCCAGACAGAACTGTCTGTAACGCAGAAAGAATGTCTACAAACACATATCTACAATGAAGTATAAACAGAAATAGTAAAAAGTGACTGGAATAAAAAAAACTTTGGTCAGAAGGTGATGCAATACCTGAGGTGTTCATACTTCCAGACACCTTCATCTTGTCCCTCAGGGGGGTCCAGGATCTTGTCAATGTTGGAACAGTCTGATCGAATGTTCTGCTGTATGTACTGCAAGCATTCAAAGCATCATGTGACTTAACATCCAGCATGAAACAACCAGCAATGAAATATTAGTTCATTAAATCTATGCATCTCTTTATAGTTTTAACATATATAACTGATAATAATGAAGTGATCGTCTAAATGAAATCCAGGACAAGCACTAAGTAAGTTTTTGCCTCCCTAACTCCAAACTGTTAATACGCCACCTGTTGAACAGCCAGGGTGCTGTCCATTTCCTCGAAAGACTCATCTGGCCAGTTGTAGAAATCCTGCAATTGGACAGATAATCCTCGACGTTAGGTGGGGTGGGGGACCACCGCATACCACGCAGCGCTGACGCGATCGCAGCTGTCACGCATTCGTAAGGCAACTGGGGAAGCGAGCGGTCAACAAGCTATACAAGCCCGTGCTAGTTAGGGGCCGTGGAAAAGAATAAACGAAAGCAATTATCCCTCTGTTGTCCACCGATCTTCAGACGGCAATTTCCCCAGAATAAAATTAAAAGGTATCATGCATCTTGCAGGTTATGAGTCACCTAGCTACGAAGAAATTACGTATGTATATCTTGTTGTAACAGAAAATCACAATACTTGTGATAAATGGTGCAGAATGCATATTAAGAAAACAACCTGTTAAGAAACGTTTAACATTAAACGTTGTAAGCTGAATACTATTGAAAAAACAGGTCAGTTCCAGGACAGATCTAACTAGCTACCTTAACCAATGTTAAATAGCGCGAAACTCCAGAACCGGCAGACCATGTGAAGAGTTAAATATTTGTCAAACACCAGATTTAGCAGTAAACGGATACTATCGGAGACAGTACTGTACTATACTCCAGCTCAATCAAATGAGCGGCTACACGTCCATTTTACAGACAATTTCGCTGTATACAGATCAGAGAATGCTATCATTTCTGTAAAGTCACAGCGTCAAGCTCGGCCTCCTAGCAAAGCAGCCCTTTCCTCATCATTAATACTTTAACTTAATTTCAGATCATAACAATCTGGACCTTTCTTACTATTTGTTAGATTAGTAAGATAGTAATAACTCCGCACCAAAGAGTACACAGCAAGGCCCGACCCTTCCTGTATTTGTAGACACTCCCTTACCCCAGAATTGCAGACAGGATGCCAATACGCATACACCCAAATCGATTTATCGGCTTTCAAGCGATAACTTCGACGGCCAACTATTACTTGGCGTGATCTTCACAAAGTTCCGAGGCTAACAGGCATACCTGGGCTTTTGTCCCCGGACGATTCCTCCTGAGAACTGCAGTACCCTCCGCCATGACCATCTCGCCAAAATACCCCGGATGTTAAGCGTCGCCGTGCTGTAGTATGCCTGTACGTCAGCAGGGGCGCTGTACAGCAAGTACCCGGAGTTCTCTATGCGTTTCCATCTCATGATTATATTATATTATAAATTCTGCGTTACGCATCCATCCACCTATCCATCTTCATATCGAATCTTCTAGTAAGAGTCGCATAATAATAATAATAATAATAATATAAAAGTAAATAATAATTAATCATGAAAGTTGTCATTGTTATTGTTGTTGTTGTTACCGTTGTTATTATTATTATTATGACTGCATGAAGAATGCTTGTTCCAGGTTTAAAGGTTTATTTGTCACGTGCACAAACATATACTGTACATGTGTATAGTGAAATGCTATAAACTGACTTGTCCAGCCCCAAGCTGAAAGCCAGGATATCCAACCACCAAGCCACGTGGTTCTTAGCGGTAAGATTAACCTTGAAACATTCATACTTATTTAGGAAATAAGAATAGGTTGAGTTTAGCTCCATGTAGGTGTAAGGTAGGAAGTCTGTCTGGGCAATAAATAGATGCCTGAGGATGTAGAAATTCCCACTCACTGTCTGCTTTTTGCAATGACATGTTCATAAAATTGCATATTTGAGATGTATGTGAAGACTGCAGTCTTTTCTTCTGTACTTAACATCTTTCATTTACCTGCATTCAGATAATTATTGGATCTTTTTCTTATAAAATTATCTTATATCTTAACATTTATCTTACTGATGTATTTATTCTTTGACCAAAAAATGAGGAATAATCAAACTGATAATTGAAATGAAAAATCAAATTGTATTCAGCAAAACACACTCAACATGCTTGGACAAAAATGTAGGCCCACAGTAATGTTACACCTACAGGAGCTTTTATGATAATTAATAGACATCAATATGGAGCTGGTCCCCACTTTGCAGCTGTAACAGCTGCCACTCTTCTGGGAAGGCTTTCCTCAAGTGTGTCTGAGAATTTTTGCCCATTCATCCAGAAGAGCATTTGTGAGGTCAGGCACTGATGTTGGATGTGAAAGTCTGGCTCATAATCTCAGTTCTAGTTCATCCCAAAGATTCCAGATGTGGTTGAGGTCATGGCTCTGTTTTTCCACACCAAACTCACCCAACCATGTCTTTATGGACCTTGCTTTGTGCACTGGGGCACAGTCATGCTGGAACAGAAAAGGGCCTTCCTCAAACTGTTCCCAAAAAGTTGAAAGCATAGAATTGTCCAAAATGTCTTGGTATACTAAAGCATTAAGAATTCCCTTCACTGGAACTAAAGGGCCCTAAACCAACCCCTGAAAAACACCCCCATACCATTATCCCTCCTCCACCAAACTTTACAATTGGCATAATACAGTCAGGCAGGTATTGTTCTCCTGGCATCTGCCAAACCTAGACTTGTCCATCAGACTGCCACATCACTCCTCAGAACATGTTTCTACTGCTCCAGAATCCAGTGGCGGTGTGCTCTATACCACCTCATCCAACACTTTCCATTGCACTTGGTGATGCAGCTGCTCGGTCTTGGAAGCCCATTCCATGAAGCTCCCGGGGGACAGTTTTTTGTGCTGAAGTTAATGCCAGAGGAAGTTTGGAACTCTGCAGTTATTGAGTCAATAGAGCACTGGCAACTTTTACGGATTATGTGCCTCAGCACTCGGTGACCCTGCTCTATTACTTTATGTGGTCTGTCACTTTGTGACTGAGTTTCTGTTGTTCATAAAAGCTTCTACTTTGTAATAATACCACTAATTCCACAGCTGACAGTGGAATATCTAGTGGGGAAGACATTCACGACTTATTGCAAAGGTGGTATCCTAGGACAGTACCATGCTTGAATCCACTGGGCTCTTCAGAAGGACCCATTCTTTAACACTTGTAAACCTGACTGCAAGGCTAGGTGTTTCATTTTATACACTTGTGGCAATGTGTCAGTGATAAATAGGTGTGTCCCAATACCTTTGTCCATATGGTATAACTCAAAAGCCCTGTGAAGCTGAGTTTCCAGTGGGATTTAACTGCAAAAATTTACTATGATGGGATTCTGGCAATGTGTGTTCACACTATCATCTCACAACTGCTTGATTCAAAATTTCTGCTTTTTACTGCAACTTCATATTAATCATGCTGATGCCTTAAGTTCAAATAAAATAACCTAATACTATTTATAAAGTAGTAACTAGTAACAATCCTAGGCTCCTTAAAACACATTTGAGAGCTCATTAATGAATATGTAAATGTAATTTTCCCCCAAAGCCCTCATCTAAGATTTTTCATTACTCTTGACACCAACTTCCATCATATAGGAATGCTTTCAATAGTGACTGTGTAACTCAGTTCTACATATGTGTATCATAGGATTTAAGTAACAATATTATCGTTTACAATATTTTAAGTATTCAATAATTTTAATAATTTATTTTTAAATTGAATGACAGCCAAAACATGACAACTACTTAACATGACAGCTTTTTTGATTTCCCCCCCTCCCCCCACTTCCTACAGCAGTACTTCCACTTCTGACCTACTTAAGTTTTTCTTACGTTTGGATGCCTGGGCTCCGCTGTCTTTAGATTTTCATTTGCATTCTTGACTTCTCTCACAACTTTTAGTCTTCATTCCTGTTTGTGCACACAGCCCTTCTATGGGGATTTGTGGGGCATTTTCCTACGCTAATTAGGAGTAACTTGATGAATGAGGCCCATTGATATAATCGCAATTAAAACATTAACGTTTTCAATGGTGTTTTATGCTTTTATGCTTCATCAGCTACAAATCCAAAAGCTGAATTCCAGCTGGTTTAAACTACTTTATTTCTGATGTGTCCATAAAGATTAGCCGTGTTAGCAAAAAAAAAAAGATAATACACCAAGTCACAGCAGCGAGATTATGAATCTAGCCAGCATCATCTTAAGATAATTTCTAATTCAACAATTAAACCAACTTTAAATAATCCGTAGAAAGGGATACACATTTTGTTTATTACTATAACAAAACTGCTTATTTACAACAGAATTATATATAAATGAATTACACAGACATATTCTTCTTTCACATGGGTAATGACATCCAGGCACATAAACCATCAATCAACATATTTTCCAAGGATGTCGCCATCACGAAACAGGAAATACTCCTGAAAAATAAAATATTATTACTTAAAATCTAAAGTTAGAACAATTTTTAAAATTGGTATACAAGCTAACTTCTCAAAAGCAATGGCATTCTTTTACATAGAACTTTATAAATACCTTATCATCAAGACTGACTTTAGTTCCTCCATACTCAGGTAACAGGACTTTTTCTCCCACTTTCACACTAACTGGAACCACCTTACCATCCTATTAAAGAACAGAGAGAAAGCCTGGGTAAACTTAACTCCAGTGCGTTTTTAAAAAGTGACTGGGAAGTATAGGTATGTATGCAGGTCACCTTGTTGGTGCTACCGGGACCAGTGGCCACCACTGTGGCCTGCAGCACCTTGCCCTGGGACTTCTCCGGAAGCATGATGCCCCCTTTTGTTACCGTCTCCGCTGCCAGACGCTCCACCAGCACACGGTCAAACATGGGGAGGAATTTCCTAAATGCCTGAAGAAAAACAGGGATCCAAACAACATTAATATTTCTTATTAAGTTATCACATTCATTTTGACTCCGTTATTTTCTGATTCTCTATGGCAAATGGGTTACAGGAGCATTCAGCCAATGATTAGAGATGAGGGCTGATTCTGAACAATGGCCAGCAATGGCCTTTGAGCCAGGCTGTTAACCCAAAATGCTTCAGGTAAAAGAGTGACCCATTCCAAGTAAAAATAAACGTTACTTTAAATAAAAAAAGCAACTAAAATGAGTAGTTTTGAAATAAAGGATTAGATTCACTTTTGAGTATATATTTCAAGGACATTTATTTCTAAAGCCACTACTCCTACTTAAGATTGAAAAGTGACCCCACGCATACTCATAATTCTTAACCATTTATTGCATGCCAGCGCCATTTATCAAGACTGCTTGATTATATGTAAAATGTTTATAAATGCCCACCTTACGAGGAGGGGCTATAGTCTGCTTTTCTAGAATTGATAGTTTTTCTGCAGCTGTGCACATGGTATGTGTGTCTGACCTTGAATGAAGGTTGTTTCTAAACGAGGGAGGGACAAAACCTTGATTCCTGACTTTTTTGGGGGTGGGGGGTGGTACTCTCACCGATAACACGAGAACTCCGTAAAACATACACCGATTAATAATTGTGCATAGTTTTGCAGAATTAAAGAACAAAAAAGGTTTAGTTAAACTGGTTGTGATTAGTCGACAATACTGGACCTACTTTTTTTTTTAACTATTAAACGGTACTCCATTAAGATTCAGACACCGATAATAAACTATACTTTGAATAGCAGCGCCCTTGCCGTTTTACAGCGCGGTAACCCCGGATATGATTAGGCTCATGCTCGGTGCACTTTGCTTAACGGTAAGAATCATCGGCAGGACGCTCTGTTATTCTGACCAACTGGTTAATGGAATATTAATAAAAGCACTATGAGGTTGTAGTTAGACATTACTTTATCTTGCAAAGTGTGAATCAATGTACCAAACTGATGTCATGCGTCATTGCTTTTTGGGTTCCTTGCATTTAAGCGATTATACGTTACTTTTATTTAGGGAGTTGGGCAATAAGGTTCTTCACTGTACTATCGTTTAAAGTGGCATCATAATGTACTTTAACGGCATTAGATACCTTAAAATGCAATGAACGTTAGTCCCAAACTGCTGGAACATCTAATTTCCAAAACAAAAGAAAACAGAAAAGAAAAGAAAAAAAGAATTAATCCCCTTTTCCTCATGTGGATACTCTTCAGACCATTTACTAAATGTGTCTAGACACACCAGTTGTATCATTTGTATTTTGAAGCTGAGTATCTAGAGGTATCGCCGAACATTAGAGGTAAAGATTAAAATGAGCACACGTTCTGATCGCATGCTAATGGTAAATTACAGTACATAAGCTGAAACATCTGATACACGTGAATTCCCGTTTGTTATTATTCTTAAGCACATAACGTTAGTTCTACAATGACATATTACGTATAACTGACTTACCATTTTTATGTTTGCTGACTCTTTGCGTGGAGGCTGTGTGATACTGTGCGCTAATATCAGCCAAAGGACTGATTTCCACGTGAAGAAATAGCCAGAATCCCGAGGCGCATGCGCGACCTTCACACGCGTTCTTGCCTGCTTCGTTCCAGTAATCTAGAATATTCCACGTTTTTACTTTAACAATAATACAAGATTTTCAAAATAACGACACCTTCCTGATTGTTGTATATAATTTAAATAATGTACATACATTTCTATATAAAAGGATCAAGTTTTGGATATAATTTATTAATATTGCGCAAGTTCAACCTTTGACACCTCCAACTTTTTTTCATCCAATTGACTCTAAGAAAATTCTGGAAATCAAACCCTGGAACGAGCATAGTTTGATAAGCACACATCATAATTTTCCATATTCGAGGAATTTATTATATTACTTCAACATACCTTTATGTAAATAGTAATGTAAGTAAAGTTATACTTTGTACTATATCAGTAATTGCTGTTATATTTACGGTCAATGCAAGAAATATTTGACCGCCACTATTATGCATGTTACAGGGCCAGTAAAACTATTACCCGGATGGAAAAAACCATGTGTACCGCAGTGCTCTCAGCCGACGTGCACTCGGGTTCACACTTGTTCGTAGTAGCGGTCCGTCTGCTAGTCGAGCTGAGGGCACGAACAAACCATCTTCTTCGACTTTATCTGCACAATTTACAGTAAGTTATGCTGTACTACACTTTGGAGTGCACTATGCACAATTATAGGAAATCTATTTTTTGTTGGATGTACAACAAATTAGTACGTTATGGCAAGCAATGTAGATTGCACTCTCCATGCGTGTGTTTAACTGAATAGCGAGCGTGCGCTGGACGATTATCTGCTATTATACTTCTATATAAATATTGATACGTTTTAGGTGGTGAAGTGCTGTGTGTTGTATTTGCAGATGCAAATACATTTCACATTATACCTTTTGATAATAAAATGTTTGTTTCTTTCATGGAACCTAATTTGCAGTTCAATTAACATGATACCGGGGTCTCCCAATTGTCATTCATTGACTATTGTCCAGCACATGTCAGAAGTAGTACTGACTGAATATGTCTTATTACGGGTCATATCACAGATGTTTAACTTTGTCGCTCAGTTTAAGAGTTTCGTCGCAGTACATTGTAGCATTTCTAGAATATTCATCTGCGGAGAAGACACGCGTGCCCGCTACACTTTGTAGGGAAAAGAGTTAAAGATATTTCGTCATTTCCGTATGCTGTGGAATCTTGACCTTGTGATAGGCGGCACGTGTGTGCGATGAAGTGCACGACAGACTGTCGTAATGAATATTACCGCCAGTATTTCATGTTTCTTAGTGTATTTTATAAAGAAATACCAGTTAACAAACACCCCATGGATCTTGCTTTGAAGTTTATACGTAAAAAAAAATGCTATACTCATAGCTTCGTGAGGTAATGGGTAACGTGCAGGGGCGTCACCTGACATTTGTGAAAAGGTGGGCTAAGCGTTTAAAATGAATGAATGTGAACACACATTTTAAAATAGTGTACATTTATTCGGGGCGGGCTAACCCCCCCCCCCCAAAAAAAACGGCCCTAGTAACGTGGTTTTGCAATTAAGAAACCGTTATATTGCTTTAATTAATATTTTTTCATATGTGTAAACTTAGAGGCTGATTTTTCATGTGATGTATTAATAAAGGTCACCTAAAATGCAGAATGTATTGAGGGATTGGGATTTATTTAATGGGGGGGGGGGGGTGTAGTAATATATCTAAATCAGGGCTATGCAACTCTCAGTCCTCAAGGTCCATGCCCTGATGTTTTTCCAGCCTTCCTTCACCCATGAGCCAGGTGCGAAGCCCCTCTAGCCAATCAGAATCAGTAATTATCAAAGTAATTACCAGGGAGAACTGAAAACACGGCCTGGATTTGGAATCGAGGTTCAGAGTTGAATACCCCTGATGTGAAGTATATTCAGTTTGTAATTTACAGGAAGATTTGCATTTCCTTTTCTGAACACCCCCACCACTTTTTTGTTAGGAATGCTGCGCATACCCAGTGTGATGAGAAAAATACGGCCAGTGTGCCGGGCTCTGGCCCCACACCTCACGCGAGCCTATGCCAAGGACGTCAAGTTTGGAGCTGATGCCCGTGCCCTCATGCTCCAAGGCGTGGATCTGCTAGCTGATGCTGTTGCTGTCACCATGGGTCCCAAGGTACAACTAAATTGTCAATATTGTTATGGGGCTATCAGCGGAAAATGCTTCTACTTATATGCTTCTCATTAAATGCTTCTGTAATTGCGGGCAACCATAGAGGAAAGAAACTGTAGAGATGGACTATGTACCAAAGAGATGTCAGCTTGTATGTATATACTTATGAGATACTGATCTTTTTTTCTTAGATGTAGCCTTACTATGCAAAAATATGCAATTCTCAAATCTTTTCGTCTTAAAAATGTGGTGATATTGTTATATTAGTGATGATCCAGGTTCTTTGGTGCGTTCAGCTTGTACACATTCTCTTCTTGCTTGTAGGGTCGAACAGTCATCATTGAGCAGAGTTGGGGCAGCCCCAAGGTGACCAAAGATGGGGTTACAGTTGCCAAGAGCATCGACCTTAAAGATAAATACAAAAACATCGGGGCTAAACTAGTGCAGGATGTGGCCAACAACACCAACGAGGAAGCCGGCGACGGCACCACCACTGCCACCGTGCTGGCGCGGGCCATCGCCAAGGAGGGCTTCGACAGCATCAGCAAGGGCGCCAACCCCGTGGAGATCCGCCGCGGTGTCATGATGGCTGTCGACACGGTCATAAGTGAACTGAAGAAGCTGTCCAAGCCTGTCACCACTCCTGAAGAGATTGCACAGGTAACAACAGCAGTGTCTATGAAGAGACGGGAAAGCCAGTGGTAGTTGTTTTTAAATTATAATAATCATACGGGCAACTTATCAAGTATGAGATTTGACTTGAGTTGTATGTGTATTTAAACTCCCCCGCCTCCTCCAAACATAAATCACTGGAAAATTCTCCCATGATTTTAGTGTAATCTGTAGAGATGCGCCAAGCGCTAATGACATGCTAGCGCATGGCTGTGAGCGTGCATATGGCGGTGAGGCTATTGTGTGGTGCATGCATAGTGTGCCGCTTGTGTAAAACGGACCGGTTCAGTAATGGAAATACATGAGTATGACTCTCCGGTCTCCAATCCCTGGCCAGTCGATCGGTGCACCTCTAGTAGTCTGGCCATATGGTTGATCCCTAAGATAATGTGAAAATGGATTTATTGTGAGCAGTGGTTTTTATTATATGTACTGTTTCTTTAGGTGGCTACTATTTCAGCAAATGGAGACAGTGAGATTGGTAACATCATTTCCAACGCCATGAAAAAGGTCGGCCGTAAAGGGGTCATCACAGTAAAGGTGAGTCCCTCTTCTGTTTTACACATTAACTTGAGCATTTTGAACCAAGATGTATTTCCGTTATAGATTTGTTATCGTTTTTGAGAAGACTTCCCTGCCAATAAGCCTGTGCTCTGTATTGTTTTAGGACTAAATATATTTAGTTTATGTGCAGCTTTATCATAAAGTGACTGTCTGACAGGATGGCAAAACCCTCCATGATGAGCTGGAGATCATTGAGGGCCTGAAGTTTGACCGTGGCTACATCTCCCCCTACTTCATCAACACTGCCAAGGGTGAGTGCCCACCCCTGCCTCCAGCTCCCCCCTCAGCTGTGCGATCGCCTGGCCTTCCTCTCCATGGCCCGTGACTTTGACTGCCTTTGAATTGCCACCCCTGTGTCTGCAATTCAGGTCAGAAGTGCGAGTTCCAGGATGCCTACCTCCTGCTGAGTGAGAAGAAAATCTCCAGTGTGCAGAGCATTGTTCCTGCCCTCGAAATTGCCAACCAGCACCGCAAACCTCTGGTCATTTTGGCAGAGGATGTTGATGGGGAAGCTCTCAGCACACTAGTCCTGAACAGGTCCTTCATGCTGCTTTTGGGACATACTTGTCTTTTTATGAAGATACAATAGTACCTTGGAACACAAACTTAATTCGTTCCTGAGGGCTGGTTGAGTTGTGATTTGGTCGAGGTCCAAGTGAAATTTCCTAATAAGAAATAACGTAAATTACTTTAAGCCATTCCAGACCCCGAAATGATTGCCTGTTTAAACTTATCTACCTACCTAACTAATGATAAAAATCATTAACAATCAATATAAAACCAATACACACATGAAAAGGCAAAAATTTCTCATACACACACGTGCACCACCTTCAAGTCTCGCTATAATTTCCTTTTTAAGTTCTACAGTTATTCTCACTACTTTCCACTTCGGTTTACTGCTATCACTGCTCACTTTCTTAGGGGCCACGATTACTGTATCACTAAATGTACTGTAGATAAAGCACAAAAAAATTCACACCGAATACAGGAACACAGCTTTCGCACATCGAACTTGGCTGAGAGACAGAGAGCGATTCATAGGCATCAGCATCCCAGTAGGTCCGTTTGCCTTTGTTTCAGCCCACCAGAGATGTCTCGATCCGTATAGTTTTACCAAGTCCGTTGTTTTGTTCCCAAGTTTTTTCTTGACTTAGGTTTTTCTCGACTGACCTGTTCGAGGTCCGTCTTGGTAGAGTTGAATGCATCTCGACCCATATAATCTTTAGTAGGAACGGTCAAGTCCCAAGATTTCGGTCAAGGTACAAGTAAAAAAGAAATTGACCCATTAGATGTCCGAGTTGGATGCGTTTGAGTTCCAAGGTTCTACTGTATATAAATGAGATGTGAAGTTTGTATTTGAGAATTGTCATGGTAAAGTGTTCAGTGTTTAAATTATAGCATCTTTTGAGCTCCTGGTGTTGATCTCTTAATGCTGTCATTGTGTCTACAGGTTGAAGGTGGGACTGCAGGTTGTAGCTGTAAAGGCTCCAGGATTTGGAGACAACAGGAAGAACCAGCTGCGGGATATGGCTGTTGCCACTGGAGGCACTGTGAGCAGTTCTTTTAACCTCTTCAAGTTGCAATGAATAGATTTTCATGTTTGCGCAGTCTGTAATGTCGCAGTCAGTAATGTCGCAGACTTGACTTGGCAGAAACAGAAAATAATGAAACTCCGCCAAAGATGGCACATACCTCTTTGTTCTCTATTAACATCTATGTTTTGTTGGTAGGTGTTTGGTGATGAAACAATGGGCCTAGCTGTAGAAGACATCCAGGCACATGATTTTGGCAAGGTCGGCGAGGTGGTGGTGACCAAGGATGACACATTGCTTCTCAAGGGACGTGGTGATTCAAGTGCTATCGAGAAACGCATAGCAGAGATCGCTGAGCAGCTGGAGACCACCACCAGTGACTATGAGAAAGAGAAGCTGAACGAGCGATTGGCCAAATTGTCTGATGGCGTAGCTGTGCTAAAGGTCAGTATGTGGAATGAGGCTTCCATCTATTCTCAGAAGTATTAACCAGAAGCTACCTGTTGGCGAATGAGAAAAAACAGAATTCTAAAACCCATGTAGTTCTGCACCATTTTCTACTCATGGGAGAAGTAGGGTTTCTATGGCAAGAAGCATAAACTTGGTA